CGCCGCGGACCCGCCGCCGGCGGGCCACGAGGTGGGAGGCCGGCTTGCATGCGCTTGGCGTGCACCGAGGACTCGAAGACGTAGCGGAGCGGGTCCCGGCGCGCCGGCCGCCGGCCGCGCCGCGCAAGAGCGAGTCGCTCTTCGCCGTGGTCGAGGTGCCCGACGCGGACCACGCCGCCGGCGGGCCGCGAGGTCGGAGGCCGGGCTTGCATGCGCTTGACGTGCACCGAGGACTCGAAGACGTAGCGGAGCGGGTCCCGGCGCGCCGGCCGCCGGCCGCGCCGCGCAAGAGCGAGTCGCTCTTCGCCGTCGTCGAGGTGCCCGACGCGGACCACGCCGCCGGCGGGCCGCGAGGTCGGAGGCCGGGCTTCCATGCGCTTGGCGTGCACCGAGGACTCGAAGACGTAGCGGAGCGGGTCCCGGCGCGCCGGCCGCCGGCCGCGCCGCGCAAGAGCGAGTCGCTCTTCGCCGTGGTCGAGGTGCCCGACGCGGACCACGCCGCCGGCGGGCCGCGAGGTCGGAGGCCGGGCTTGCATGCGCTTGACGTGCACCGAGGACTCGAAGACGTAGCGGAGCGGGTCCCGGCGCGCCGGCCGCCGGCCGCGCCGCGCAAGAGCGAGTCGCTCTTCGCCGTCGTCGAGGTGCCCGACGCGGATCACGCCGCCGGCGGGCCGCGAGGTCGGAGGCCGGGCTTCCATGCGCTTGGCGTGCACCGAGGACTCGAAGACGTAGCGGAGCGGGTCCCGGTCGCGCCTCGGCGCTTGGATACCCGAGGTCAACGACTCGACGTCATCAACGTCGCGCTCAGGGACCACGCCGCCGCCGGGCCACGAGGTGGGAGGCCGTGTGTTGGTGGGGGAGCGGGGGAGGGGGGCGGGTGAGGGGGGGGGGGGGGTCACACGGGGCGGGCGTGGAAGATCGAAACGACGAACTCGATCCAGTTTTCGTTTCCACGTTTTCGCTCGTCGTTTTCGAACGTTTTTTACCAAGTACATGGCTCGCGCGGCGAGGGGAAGGGGGGGGGGGGGGGGGGGGAGCCAATCGGGGGATATTTGGACGCGGGAGGAGACGATTGCGTCTGCTTTGAAATTTTCGAGCCCCTCCGCGTCGAGATATACGTGCAACGTCGCGCCCTGGATGCCCTAGTGAACTAGCCTAGGCGTCTCCGAGCCTGGGGCTGTCGACGCCCAGGGACGCGGGCCGCGGGAGGTTGTGGCTCTGGATCCGTCGGCCCGGGAGCCCGCGATCGCGCGGGCGTAGTACGCTAGGTTACGGGGCGCCGCGGCGCCGGCCTGGGCGTGACGCGGAACAGGGGCGGTCGCCGCCGCGTCCCATTGAGGATTTCGCGGAGCTGCTCGTCGACGTTCGCGTCGATGAGCGCCTCGTAGCCGAGCGCGTCCTCGCAGCCGGGTCCCGCGGGCGTGCAGTGGAGCACCTCGTTGCGCGGGAGGCCGAGCGTGACGGCGACGCGGCCGGCCTTGCGGTTCGACGAGCACTTGGCCGCGCACCGCACGAGCGGCGGCGGACTGCCTCAGGCAACTCGCCATCACGACTGCGAGCATGGCCGCAAAGAAGTCCGCAAAAGCTGCAAAAACGCCGCCGGCAGCAGCCACGAAAGATCAAGCAAAGAAACCGGAAAAAAAGCCGGCGCGCTGCGGCGCCATCGCAGCCGCGCTCCTCGCCGCGCTCGTGGGCTTCGCGCTCGCCGACGCCGGCGTGACGACCAGACCCATCGTCGCGTCGCAGCGCGACCGCCGCTTCCTGAGCGAACGCATCAACGCGACGCTCGAGCACGCGACGGTGCGGGAAGCGGTCTTCGAGTCGCAGGGCGTTCGCTGCCACGCGTGGGTCTTCGCGCCGACGTCCCGGGGGCCCGGCCCGGTGCCAGTCGTCGTCATGGGCCACGGCTTCGCGGGCCAGAAGGACCAGGGCCTCGCGCGCTACGCCGACGCGTTCGCCGCGGCGGGTTTGGCGTCGTTCGCGATCGACTACCGGACCTTCGGGGGCAGCGGCGGCGAGCCGCGGCACGTCGTCGACCCGCCGGCGCACGCCCAGGACTTCGTCGCCGCCGCGCTCCACGTCTTGGGTGGCGCGGACCCCGCGCTGCGGGCCGCGGGCGTCACGAAGCGGTCGAAGCTCGGCATCTGGGGCTCGTCGATGGGCGGCGGCCACGCGATCGTCGCCGCGGCGGCGCTCGGCGACCTCGTCGGCGCCGTCGTGTCGCAGATGCCCATGCTCGACGGGTTCGCCAACTCGAAGTTCAACATCGCCACGAAGGGCGTCGCGCCGTCGCTGCGCCTCGGCCTCGCCGCGCTCCACGACATGGCGCGCGCGTCTTTCGGTTTCGCGCCCGCGCGCGTGCCCGCGTACGCGCCCCTGGGCGCCCTCGGCGTCATGAACCTCCCGGACGACGAGCTCGCGTCGTGGATCTCGAAGCACCCGGCGGACCGGCGCTATCTCGGGGACTGGCGGAACGAGGTCTGCGCGCGGACGCTCCTCGCCGTCAAGGACTACCGGCCGCTGCTGCTCGTGCCCGGCGTGTCCGCGCCGATCCTGTTCATCCGCCCGGGCAACGACATCGTGCTCCCCAACGACGTCGTCCTCGAGGCGGCGGCGCTCGCGCGGCACCCGAATTCGACGCTGTACCAGATGGCGCCCGACGTCGGCCACTTCCACCTCTACCGCGAGGCGTTCCCCGAGGCGTCGCGGGTCCAGGCGGCCTTCCTCGTAGGCGCGCTCTCCTAAATTTTACTACAGTGTGAACGCGCCCCCTTAGTCGAGCTGGCCGTTCTTGAGCTGCCAGAGGCCGTCGTTGAGGAAGTGGAGGTTGTCGACGCAGATGCCCTTGTTCTTCTCGAGGATGTCGCCCTTGGTCATCTTCACCTGGCCGATGGCCATCGCGTGCTTCTTGCCGAACGCGCCGACGACGACGGGCGCGTCGACGGGCAGGTCCGCGGGCATGTCGCCGTCGTCGTGCGTGAAGCCCGGGCACATGACGTTCGAGCCGCCGAGGACGAAGCGGATGGCGCCGGCGTCCGTGCGCCAGACGTGGTCCTCGAAGACGGACGCGCGCCGGTGCACGAGCCGGAGCGTCGGGAACCACGGACCGTCGCGCTGCTGGAAGAAGATGGGCTCGTTTTTGACGACGAGGAGCTGGATGTGGTTCGTGCACTTGGCCAGCACGAGCGACTCCTTCTTCGGGAGCAGCTCGTCGATGACGTCCTCGATCTTCGGGTACTGGTCGCAGATGGCCGTCCGGATGGCGCGCCCGACGCTCGACTTCACCTGGCTCTGCGAGCTCACGCACTCCTCCTGGGTGAAGCGCTTGAACATAGTGGTGCGCGCGACGGCGTCGGAGACCGGCTGGGCGAGGCGCGTCGCGGCGGGAGGTCGCGCGCAGGAGCCGGCCGGAGAGCGAGGCTTGGCTGCAAGTGGTCGTTGAAGCGGTGTTGCCGTCGGCGTCGCGATCGACCTGCCGCAGCCACCACTAACACCACAAGCTCCAAATAACGTTCCTAGATGTTATCGGCGAGGTTCTCGTCGCAGGCGAGCTGGTTTTCGAGGAGCGCGGCGTAGGCGTCGAGGGTCAGGGGCTCCTCGTCGTCGTCGTCGTCGCGCGCGGTCGCCGGGTCGAGGAGCGGCTCGAGCATGGACGCCGCGAGGCGCGCGACGAGCTCGAGGTGGTCGAGGACCTTGAGCTCGCCCGCCCGGACGACGCGCGCGAAGGCCGCGCGCGCGTCCTGCGCCTCCGGCCGCGGGCCGTAGCGGCCGCGCGCCGCGACGACGGCCTCGAGGAACGCCTCCAGCGCGCGCGCCTCGTTCGCCGCGGACCGCGGCGTCCGCGCGAGCGTCGCGGCGTCGGCGCCGGCGTCGCGCCGGCGCCAGCGCGCCAGGTCCGCGGCGTCGGCGCTCGCCACGCGGAAGAGCGAGAGCGCCGTCGCGGCCGCCGCGCCGTCGCCGACGCCGAGGCCGCAGCGGACGACGCGGCGCCGCTTCGACCGGTGCGCGTCTCGCCGCTCCAGGCCCGCGACGAGGCCTCGCCGGTCCCGGGGGAAGGGCACGCGGAGCCGCACCTCGGCCGACGCGGACGTCTCGCCGCAGAAGCCGTAGGAGAGGAGCGCGTGCGCGGGCGCGCGTCCCGAAAAGTACTCGATCGTCGCCTCGGCGCCCCGCGTCGCGCGTCCCGTCGTCGACACGGAAAAGGCGCCGCCGGCGACGGCCCAGGCGCAGGGCGCCGCGGGCGCGTCGGTCGCCGGCGCCGCGTGGTTGAGCATGTCTACCAACGGCACCAGGAGCACGACGCTCTCGGGCTCGTCGACGGCGAGCGCGCCGTAGGCCGCGCCGAAGGCCGACGCCGGCGCCCGAAACGTCCGCGACAGGACGCAGGCGACGGCCCAGGCGAAGGTCTTTGGAGAGACGCGGGCCGCCCAGCCGCCGTCGCAGCGCGCGAGGTCCGCGTACCAGCGCGCGGCGGAGCGGCGCTGCGCGTCGACGTGGCCGAGGCACGGCGACCCGCGCAGCGCGGTCCGCAGCGCGCCGTTGTCCCAGAAGAGGGGCAGGTGGCCGAGCGCGTCGCGGCTCGGCAGCGACGCGAGGAACGGCGCGAAGGCCGACGCGCCCTTGGCGCGCTCCTCGCAGAGCCAGACCGCCGCGAGCGCCACGGGGCTCGCCGTCGCGCCGGACGCGGCGCAGGCCGCGAGCCACGCGCGCCCGGCGGGCGTCGCGGCGCCGCGGACGCTGCCGCCGCAGGACGCCAGCGGCACGGAGAGGAGCGTCGTGTGCGCGGCGACGTCGCGTGCGAGGACGAGCCCGCGCTCGCCGTCGCCGAGCGACGCGATCGTGACGCCGTCGACGACGCCGCCGCGGCGCTGCACCCAGCGCTCGAGAGCGTGTTCCATCGCTGGCAGCGTGTGCTGCACAGCGCGGCGGGGGACGCCTCGCGCCCCAACTCGACGCTGCTTTGCAAAGTTGTGAACATCAATATGACGAGCTTGAAGTGGTGCAATTGCAAATAGCAAACGATGGGCGCGACGCGCGCGGGCAGCCCGCAGGAATAACAAACAAGCGACAACATAGCCAACGATGGGCGCGACGCGCGCGGGCCGCCCGCAGGAATAACAAACACGCGACAATGACCTGGCACAAGGAGTACGACGAAACGTACCAGACGCACTACTACTACAACGACGAGACCGGCGAGAGCCGCTGGGACGCGCCGGCGGACGACGACGCCGACGCCGAGGGCCTCGTCGCGCCGGCCGACGACGACGCCGCGACGCGCGTGCGCCGCCGCGGCTCCTGCGACGACGACGACGCGAGCGACGGCGACGCGTCCGATGCGTCCGACGACGGCGACGAGCTCCTCGCGGAGAGCCGCGCGTCCGCGGCGGGCGACCGCGTCTACGCGGAGACGGAGGCGACGATGAAAGCGTCGCGCGCCGGCGCCCGCACAACGCGTCTCCTGTCGACCGACGGCCGCAGGTACACGTGCATCTTCTACTTCCACGCCTGCCTCTGCGAGGGCCCCTTCGCCGCGCTCGAGGCCGCGGGCCGCGCGGTCTGCTACGCCGCCGCCGCGCGTCCACCCGCGTCTTCCTGTTTTTTTTCCCGGGAAAAAAAAACCGCCGCCGTACTAGGGCGTCCTGCTGCTCCCGTTCGCCTGCCGGCGCGCGCGGCGGAGGCAGGCCGGGCGCTACCTCCGCGAGGCCGCGCTCTTCGCGGCCGCGGCGGCGTCGGCCGCGGTGCCCGGCTGCGTCGCGCGCTTCGCGTACGGTGGCTTCGACGCGGACGCGGACGCCTGGGACCTGCGGCCGCTGCCGACGTGCCTCGGCTACGTCGACGCCAGGGCAGCAAAAGAGAGCGAAATTCCAAACTTCAAAGCTTCATATCTCGGCCGTTTTCCACTCGTTTTGGCTGATTTTTGGACGAGCGATCATCTCTCGGAGCGGTCTCGAAGCATGGATGCTTTTTTCGGAACGCGCGCGCGCGAAACACTCACGTTACAGCGATGTTGAATCACTCTTTTGCTGCCCAGGTCGACGCGCGGCGCCTCTTCGTCGTGACCTGCGGCCAGGGCTCGGGCGCGAAGAACGCCGTGTTCTCGCGGCGCGACCGCTCGGACGACAGCTGCCCGGGGACCGTCGCGCACCCGCCCTACTGGGTCCTCGGCGCGGCGCGCGACGGGTGCTGGGCCTGCCTCCGCGGCGCGGCGGCCGCGGGCGCGACCGCGGCGCGGGCCGCGGCGGACGCGCTCGTCGAGTTCGCGGCGCGGCCGGCGAACCCGCCGCGCGCGTTCCCCGCGCGCTTCGCGGAGGAGCCGCCGGGGGACGTGGAGCTCGTGTAATACGCGTCCGACGCGTACGAGTCCCGGCGGCGCCGGCGCTGCGCGAGCCAGGTGGAAGCTCGATGCACCGGCTCGGAGCTCGCTTTCTTGAAGCTCGCGCGCCTCGCCGCCTTGCCTTGCCGTCGCCGCGCTGACGACGTTGCGCCCACCATGCCCCGCCAGCTGCGCGCCGCGGCGCTGCTCTGCGCCCTCGCGACGACCTCGTCGAAGAGCGTGAGCAACCAGCGGCGGGGCCACGACGCCTTCTGGATCATGGACCCGAGCGACCAGCTGTGCCTGACGACCTACGGCACTTTGGGCCCCTGCGACGGCGACGCCATGTGGGTCTACGTGCCGCGGAGCGGCAAGGACAAGTGGAGCCTCGCGAGCGTGCTGGCGCCCGTGGCCAAGACCATGTGCCTCATGCGGCACAAGTACGCGCTCAAGGGCGGGTCGTGCGGGTCCGGGTCCGCGCAGAAGTGGGAGGTCGTGCGCGACAGCTCCCAGTTCGCCATCACCGAGGACCGCCAGAAGCACTGCGTCGTGCGCGACAGCGCCCTCTGGAGCCACCGGGCCCAGCTCCAGCGGGCCATGCGCGAGGGCAAGAGCCTGTCGCGCGGCCACGACGCGGACGTGCTCGGCCGCCGCGTGCCCAAGCACGTCGCCCACAACACCGTGTCCATCCAGAAGTGCTCGAAAGGCCACACGTCCTTCGAGCTCCACACGTCCAACGTCCACGAGCACGGCTTCATGCTCGCGTCGGCCGACACGCAGTGCTTCGACGGCGCGCGGTTCCGGCCGTGCTCCGACGCGGACGCGCACCTGCGCTGGGGCTTCGGCATCACCTTCGACTGGCTCACGGGCGCGCCCAAGACCCAGCTCTACAAGTTCTACAACTCGACGGCCTGCCTCACGGACGACCGCCGCGGCGGCGCGACGCTCGGCCCCTGCGACAACGCGAACGCGCGCGGCTGGGGGCTCCGCGCGGGGCGCCTCAGCCGCAACGGCGACGGCGTCAAGACGGGCGTCTGCCTCCAGCGCACCCTCGACGGCGGCGCCTCCATCGCCAAGTGCAAGGAGAACATGTTCGAGCACCTCACGCTCACGCTCGACTCCGACGGCTCCGACATCCTCCAGGCGGCGCTGGACAAGGTCGCCGACATGGACAAGGCCGCGGCGGCCAAGGCGCTCTAGGGCGAAGCGCCATCCCTAAGACCACGAAGCACGTCGTCGTTTCCGGGCCGCGGCGCGCGCTCCCGCGCCGCGGCGACGCGGTTTTTTGGGGGGGAAGCGGTACGATCTGTGTTTTTCGGCGCGACGTGGGGGCTGAAGAAGGGTGGAACGGACGTTCTGGGTGGCGCCTTGGAGTCAAGTTGGACGGGCAGGCGGGCTTCAACAAACTGATCTCTAAGTTGCTGTTCTCGCGAAAGCGGATCCTCGAAGAAGCACAGTCTGCTACTCGTGCTCGTTGCCCGCGGCCGGCGTCCCGCGCGCGCACGAGAGCTGGATGCAAACAGCAGTTCGCGGGGACGCCGCGCGCACGAGAGTTGGATGCAAACAGCAGCCGCGTAGGTATGCTCTCCTGCTGCGCCGCCCCAGGACAAGTTCTCGAAACGAAAAAAGACGAAGAAAGCAAGATGGCCGACGACGCGACGCTCGGCTTCGACACGCTCTGCCTCCACGGCGCCTACAAGCCCGACACGTCGGTGACCTACGGCCTGGGCCAGGGCGCGCCCCGCGGCGTGCCGCTGCACCGCACGACGCCCTACCAGTTCGTCGACACGCAGCACGCCGCGGATTTGTTCGCGCTCGCGAAGCTCGGCAACATCTACACGCGCCTCATGAACCCGACGACGCACGTGCTCGAGAGCCGCTACGCCATGCTCGAGGGCGGCCACCCGCTCAGCGGCCTCTGCGTCGCGTCGGGCACGAACGCCGTCTTCTACTCGCTCATCAACCTCGCGCGCCAGGGCGACAACATCGTCAGCAGCCGCGCGCTCTACGGCGGCACGTACACGCAGTTCGAGGAGATCCTGCCCCAGTTCGGCATCGAGGTCCGCTTCGTCGACGCCGAGGACCCGGAGAACTTCGCCAAGGCTACGGACGCCAAGACGCGCGCGTGGTTCTGCGAGTCGTGCTCGAACCCGGCGCTCGAGATCTGCGACCTCGAGGCCATCACGACGCTCGCGCACGCCCAGAACGGCACGGGCCTGCCCGTGGTCGTCGACACGACGTTCTCGACGCCCTACCTCTGCAAGCCCTTCGAGTTCGGCGTCGACGTCATCGTGTCGTCGCTCACGAAGTGGGTCGGCGGCCACGGCACGGCCATCGGCGGCATCATCGTCGACTCGGGCCGCTTCAAGTGGGGCGCGGGCAACCACCCGCTCTTCGACGAGCCCGACATGTCCTACGGCGGCGACGCGGGCCTGCGCTGGGGCCACGACCTGCCCGAGGGCCTCGCGCCGCTCGCGTACAAGCTCCGCGCGCTGACGGTGCCGCTCCGGAACCTCGGCGGCTGCATCTCGCCGGACAACTCGTGGATGGTGCTCCAGGGCATCGAGACGCTCTCCCTGCGCATGGAGCGCCACTGCGAGAACGCCATGACGGTGGCCAAGCACCTCAAGATGAACCCGAAGATCGCCTGGGTCCGCTACCCCGGGCTCGTCGACGACCCGCAGTACCAGAAGGCGAAGAAGTACCTCAAGGGCAAGGGCGGCTCCATGGTCGTCTTCGGCATCAAGGCCCCCGACGGCAAGGTCGCGGGCTCCAAGTTCATCGACTCGCTGGACCTCATCTCGCACGTCGCGAACGTCGGCGACGCGCGGACCTTGGCGATCCACCCGGCGACGACGACGCACAGCCAGATGAACGCCGCGGCCCAGCTCGGCGCGGGCGTCAAGCCCGAGATGGTCCGCCTCTCCGTCGGCCTCGAGACGGCCAAGGACATCATCGCCGACATCGACCAGGCGCTCGCCAAGGCCGTCTAAACGCCGCGCGCCGCCGCCGAGGACCAAGCCCGGCCGCCGCCCCAGCTCCGCGACGAGCGCCCGGCCGACGAGGACAAGCCTCCGCCCGCGCGCCCACCGCCCCCGCGCGGTGAGTCGCCGCGCGACCGCCGACCTAAGAGGCGCTCCCGCGGATCGAGCTGTGCACACGTGTTTCAAGTTGTGGTGCGGCGCGGGGCTATACTTGGTTCCGCCAGGGCTGTGGGTTTGGGTGGCCCCACGGGGCGTCCGGCGCGACGGCGGAATGGCGGTGGAGGCGGCGGCGAGGCTGCGCACGGCGGCGACGAGGCCTGCGACCGCGGCGCCGGCCGCGGCGCCGGCGCGCGCGGCCGCCGCCGCGGCGCCGCGGCGGGGATCCGGAGCGACGTCGTAGGCGCTCGCTGTCGAAACTGTTTTTGAGGGGATTTGGACGCCCAGACACGATGCGCCGCGCTTTTCTGTTGGCAACGGCGTGGGCCGCGGTCGGCGCCGCCGAGGAGGCCAAGTGTCCCGTCTGCGAGGACTGCTCCTGGACGTGCGCGAAGGCGGCGGCGGCGGAGAAGGCGAAGAATAGCGACCTCGAGACCAAAGCTACCACCGCGACCAAGGAGGCGTCGCGGTGGCGCATGCAGGTCGAGGGCCTCGAGGACGCCCTGTCGAAGGCGCGCGTGGAGCTCGAGGAATTCAGGCTCAACATCGCCACGAAGCCGCGGCCGCGCCGCGCCGCGCCCGGCTTCGCGGTCGGCGACGGCGCGGTCGTCGTCAACGCGACGGAGCTCGGCGCCCTCGCGTCGTCCTTCGTCGCCGACGCCCTGGGCGCCGCGACGGCCGCCGTCGCCGGCGCGGCGGCCGCCGGCGGCGCGTCCTTCGAGGGCCCCGCGGGCGCCGCCGTCGCCGACGCCAAGACCGCCGCCGCCGCGCGCTTCTCCGCCGCGGCGGCCGAGGCCGCGAAGACCTACGAGGCCGCCTGGGCCGCCGTCCACGAGACGGGCCACGTCACGCCGGCCCAGCGCGCCGCCGCCGAGGCCAAGATCCTCGCGGCGCGCGACGCCGCGGCGTCGGCCGCGTCGGCCGCGTACGAGACCTACGTCGTCGGCGAGCTCCCCAAGCTCTGGGCCGCCCACGCGGCGCCCGTCGTCGCCCAGGCCCGCGAGACCCTCGCCGCGCGGCGCGCCCTCGCGGCCGCGGAGCTCGAGGAGCTCCGCGGCGTCGCGGCGAAGGCGCTCGCCGAGAAGCGCGCGGCGGTCGACGCCGCGACGCCGTCGCGGGCGCGGGCCCTCGAGCTCCTCAAGTTGACGCGCTACGCCATCGCCAAGCAGTTCGACGCGACGGGTGCAAAAATTGCCGCGCTCGCGGGCGCGGCCGACGCGGCGCCCGCCGAGGAGCCGAGCGACGGCGCGCTGCGGTTGGCCACCGCGGGCATGGCCTGCTGGTTCGCCGCGAGCTTCGCCCTCGTCTTCCTCAGCGCGTTGGCCCTCGCCCGGGCGCTGCTCGCCCTCGCGCTCAAGGTCGCGGCGACGCTCCTCGGCCGCGCGCTCAAGACGCCCGTCGCGCTCGTCCGCCTCGCGGTCCGCGTCGCCTTCGGTCTGCTCAAGCTCGCCGTCAAGCTCGTCCTCTTCGGCGTGTTCCTCCCGCTGCGCCTCCTCTTCCTCCCGATCACGCTCCCGCTCTGGCTCCTCTCCTCGAAGAAGAAGAAGCCCACGAGCCCGGCGCCGGGCAAGGCCCGCGCCAAGCCCAAGAAGAACCAGCGCTGAGGCCCCTGTTCCCCGCCTGTATACACTAACATTGCGCCCGTTGTTTTCGGGAAAGCAAGCCGACAATCCCCTTCAATTAAAATCACGCTGCCCAGGGGAAAGCATGGTCTGCGATCTCGCGCGGAACGGAATGCTCGTCGCGCTCGTCGCCGCGGCGGCGGCCCAGGACGGCTGGTCCATGTTCCGCGGGTCGACGTTCCGCGACGGGAACACGCGCGAGGTCGGCCCGTCGGGCAACGGGACGCTCTGGCGCTTCCTGCTCCGCGACCGGTCCTTCGCGCCGCCGTCGGTGCACCCCGACGGCTCCATCGTCTACGTCGGCGGCAAGCAGGGCCTCTACGGCGTGTCGCGCGACGGCGGCTTCGTCTTCCGCGTCCCCGTGAACAAGGGCGTCATCAACTCGTCGCCCGCGGTCTGCGCGGAGCGCCGAATCGTCGTCTTCGGCGGCGGCGACGGCGTCGTCTACGGCGTCGACGCCCGGAGCGGGGCCGTGCGCTGGCGCGTCGCCACGGGCAAGCCCCAGAAGGGGTCGCGCGGCGCGCCCTACGTCTACTCGTCGCCCGTGCTCGACGGCGACGTCGCGTACGTCGGCGCGTCCGACGGCCTGCTCTACGCGCTCGACGTGGACCCCGCCGTCGCCGACGGGGCGCGCGTCCGCTGGACCTTCGACGCCGTCGAGCCCCTCTGGAGCAGCCCGGCGCTGAGCGCGGACCGGGCCCTCGTCTACGTCGGGGGCTGCGACAACGCGCTCCACGCGGTCCACGCGGACAACGGCACCGCGGCCTGGGCCTACGAGACGGGCGGCTTCCCCGACGACGCCGACGACCCGGACGTCGACTCGTCGCCCGCCGTGAGCCGAAGCGACGGCACGGTCTACGTCGGCTCCTTCGACAACCGGCTCCACGCGCTCGACGGTCAAACGGGCCTCGTGAAGTGGACCTACGCGACGTCCGACGACGTCATCTCGTCGCCGGCCGTCGCCGCGGACGGGTCCCTGGTCTACGTGACGAGCCTCGACGGCTTCGTCCACGCCGTCGACGCGCCGTCGGGCCGCGCGGTCTGGAAGGTCGACCTCGGCGCGCCGGTCTACTCGGAGCCCGTGCTCGACGGCGCGGGCGCGCTCCTCGTCGGCGCGGACGACGGCCGGCTCCACGCGCTCGACGCGGCGTCGGGGGCGCCGCGCTGGGCGCACACCATCGGCGACGCCGTCCGCGGCGAGCCGGCGATCTTCGGGGGGCGCGCCTACGTCGCGACGCTCAACGACGACGCGTTCCTCCACTGCGTCGGCGCTGCGGAGCCGCGCGCGCCGACGGCCGCGCCCGCGCCCGCGCCGACGCCCGCGGCGAGCGGCGCGTCGCCGCTGAGCGACAAGGCCTGGAAGGTCCTCGCCGTGTCCTCGGTCGTCGGCTTCGGCCTGCTGGTGCTGGCGGGGTCGCTCGCGATCGCCGTGCCCAAGTGCCTCCGCGCGCGCGAGCGCCGCGACGGCCGCGCGCTCCTCGCGCAGCACCTCGTCGACGACGACCAGTTCGCCGACGTCAACTTCATCGAGCTCCGCGGCCGCGAGGGCGCCGGGCCGCTGACGAGCATCTAAGGGGGTGCTTTTTGTGGCTGCTCCTTCGCGTCAACTTGACCTTCAAGGAAACCAAGTGGCTGGAAAAAGAGCTCGACGTGCGAGAGCTCGAGCGTCGACGGCAGCACCAGGCCGCAGCAGCAACGCAACCATGGCGACGAAGGACAACGGCGCCTGCGGCGTCGTGCGCACGCTCGTCGCCGGCGGCGTCGACGTCATGTTCGCCAACCCGGGCACGACGGAGATGTTAATCGTCGACGCCCTCGACAGCGTGGAGGGCCTGCGGGCCATCCTCTGCCTCCACGAGACGGTGTGCACGGGCGCCGCCGACGGCTACGGGCGCATGGCCGGCAAGGCGGCGTGCACGCTGCTCCACCTCGGCGTGGGCCTCGCGAACGGCTCCGCGAACCTGCACAACGCGCGGCGCGCGGGCGCGCCCGTCGTCAACCTCGTGGGCGACATGGCGTCGTGGCACGTCGCCAAGGACCCGCTCCTCGCGTCGGACATCGAGGGCCTGGCGTCCTTCACGGGCTGCTTCTACCGCGCGTCGGGCGCGGACCCCGACGGCCTGTCGGACGACGTCGCGGACGCGCTCGTCGCCGTGCGCGACTACCGCGCGGGCGAGAGCCGCGTCGCGACGGTGGCCCTCGCCCACGACGCGACGCGGGACCCCCTCTCGAAGCCCTGGGCGCCGCCGGAGCTCCTGGCGACGCTCGAGCAGCCGGGCGGCGACGCGAAGACGCTCTTCGAGCGGTCCATCGAGCTCCACAACGAGCGCTACGGCGGCAACGACGCCATCCCCGCGCACGTCAAGGCCTGCGGCGCGGCGCTGAAGACGTCGAACGCCGCCCTCTTCGTCGGCGGCGCGGGCCTCTGCGACGAGGAGGCGCTGCGCGCGTGCTCGGCGATCGCCGCCGCGACGGGCTGCGCGCTCGTCGTCGAGAACGCCTTCGCGCGCGTCGACCGCGGCGGGCACCGGCCGCGCTTCGTGCGCGTGCCCTACTTCCCCAAGGACGCGCGCACCTACCTCGCCAAGTTCGAGACCGTCGTCTTCGTGGGCGCGCGGAAGCCCGTGGCCATGTTCGGCTACGACGACGGCGTGAGCGACCTCGTGGGCCTCGACGGCCAGACGGTGCTGGAGATCGACGCCATGGACGTGCCCGGGGCGCTCCGGTACCTGGCGGGGACGCTCGGCGGCGCGCCGCCGCCGCCGCCGCCGGCCGCGGCCGCGCCGAAGCGGCCCAAGGGCAAGCTCAGCGCCTACAAGCTCTGCCAGGCCCTGGCCTGCACGCAGCCCGCGGACGCGATCGTCGTCGACGAGTCGCTCACGTCCGGGGGCTCCTACTGGGACCTGAGCCTCGGCTGCGCGCCGTTCTCGCACCTCACGCTCACGGGCGGCTCCATCGGCATCGGCCCGCCGCTGAGCGTCGGCTGCGCCGTCGCCTGCCCCGGCCGCCGCGTCGTCGACTTCCAGGCCGACGGCTCGGGGCTCTACTCGACGCCCGCGTTCTGGACGATGGCGGCGGAGAACCTCGACGTGACCGTGCTCGTCTGCAAGAACGACGTGTACCAGATCCTCAAGGTCGAGCAGCAGAAGCAGAACCTGCCGACGGCGAAGCCCAACGCGAAGAAGCTCACGAACCTCTCGGGGCCGTCCGTGGACTGGGTCGCGCTCGCGAAGGGCTACGGGCTCGACGCGACGTCCGTGTCCACGGCGGAGGACCTCCTCGCCGCGCTCGAGCACTCCTTCGCGACGCCGGGGCCCTACCTCATCGAGGCGTGCTTCTAGAGGCAGGGTGGTGGTAATTATCGAGGCGGGTCTACGAGGCGGGATGGGTGCCGTTCCCTCCGAGTCACTTCGAGTCCCGCCGCGGCGGCGCCGTGGAGACCGCGCCGGCGTGACGGCCCGCGCAATGATGTGCCCAGAGAGACCCGCGGCAGTAATACCGCTCTTGATTTGAAAACCCATCGAAAACGGAACAGAAGCGGCAGAGCTCTCATGTGGAGCTCGGCGCGCTCCCCGAATGAACTCGATGTTCAAGTTAAACAGCTTGTGCTGATGCACATTTTCAAGCCAAGCTCCATCGCCCGCACCGACGTCCGTGGCAGCACTTCGCGCCGCATCAACAGCATGAGCGCGCCGTCGGAGCGCACGCACGTGGACCGCAAGGCCGCGACGGCGGCCTACAGCGCGTTGGACGTGGAGCTGAGCAGCAAGGCGCACGCGGAGCGCGCGTCGGGGACCCACGACGAGCAGCACAGCGCCGTCGGCGGGCGCCTCAAGACCATCGTCTTCGGCGGTCTGGACGGCATCCTGACGTGCTTCGCCATCGTGAGCTCCTGCGCCGGGTCCGACATGAGCCCGCGCGTCGTGCTGCTCCTCGGCGCGTGCAACATCCTCGCGGACGCGCTCGCCATGGGCGTCGGCGAGTACCTGTCCACGAAGTCGAGCGACGAGTTCGCGAGCTACGAGCGGACGCGCGAGGACTGGGAGATGCGCCACAACCCCGAGGGCGAGATTTTGGAGATGGTCGACATCTACGTCGGGCGGGGCATGTCGCGCGAGGACGCGACGACGGTGATCACGACGATGGCCAAGTACCACGACTTCTTCGTCAACGTCATGATGGTCGAGGAGCTCGGGCTCACGGTGCCCGAGCCCGAGGCCCACTGCGACGCCATGAAGGACGGCTTTCTCATGTTCCTCGCCTTCTGCGTCTTCGGCGCTTTCCCGCTCCTCGGCTACGCGCTCCTCCCGCAGTTCCGGCCCGACGCGGCGCCCCACGAGCTCTTCCTCGCCGCCTGCGCCGTCACGGGCGTCACGCTCTTCGGCCTCGGCGCCGTCAAGGCGAAGTTCGTCAACGGCAACCCCTACAAACTCGGCGCGGAGACGCTCGCGCTCGGCGCGCTCTGCGCGTCGTCGGCCTACTCCGCCGGCGCGCTCCTCCAGCAGTTCCTCCCCTCCTAGGGCCGCGCGTAAGGCGAGTCATCCGCATTTTAGGCGGTGGACGACGAAGACCGCGCCCTCGTGCTTCGGATCCTCGGCGACCTCGACGAGGATGTCGTCACGACCATGGGCGGAGATCCACGCGTGCGTCCCCGCGACGCACAGCGACGCGCAGATGGCGATGCGTGCGAGCATTGGATCGATCGCGGCGTACGCCTCAGCGTGGCTAGCGGTCGCGATCGCTAATCGTTTCGCCACAGCGGATCGATCGAGAAGGCGCATCGAGGATCGATCCCTCTCGGCGCCGTGCGCTGCCGCGCAGGCCGGAGAGCCGCGCGGCCGGAGAGCATGGTCTGGACGTGCTCCCTTTGCACGCTAGAGAACGGCAATGACCAATGGCTCGCCTGCGATGCCTGCGGGACGCCAAAGACGAAACCAGACGAGGTCATCGATCTGCGCGACGAAGAGCAGCCGCCGCCGCCCGTCGACGCGCCGCCGCCGCCGCCGCCCATCGACACACCATCATCACCGCCGCCCAGCGACGACGCGGAGCAGCACACGGACGTGCGCGCGGCGGAGCTCGACGACGTGCTCGCGCTGGGCCGCGGCGCCGCGCCGTGGTCCGGCGTCGCGCTCGGCGCGGGCGCGGACGGGCGGCCCGTGCTCGGCGCCGGAGTCGCGGCGCTCTGCGGCCGCGCGGCCGCGCTGCGGCCGAGCGCGCGGCGGCTCCTCGGCCGCGCGCTGCTCCGCAAGGATCCGTGGCAGCGCGTCGACTGCGGCCGCGAGCGCTGCTGCGGCAAGTGCGCCGCGTCGCAGCTGACCTACGTCGGCGGCGACGCCGCGCGCGCCGTCGCGGAGCTCGCGGCGGCGGGGTTCTGCGTCCTGGCGCCGCCCGACGACGCCTGCGCCGCCGCGCGCGCGCTCGACGCGTCGCGACGGCGCGCGCTCGTGCTCGACCTCGCGACGTCCGGCGCGGTCTCCGTCGACGCCCTCAAGGACTGGTGGAAGCGGCTCAAGTGCTCCGGCAAGCCCCCGGGCAAGACCAAGGACGAGCTCGCCGCGGACTTGGCGAACAAGGTCGCGCCCCGGGGCAAGAGCATCGCGTCGTTCTTCGGCGGCGCGGCCCGAGCGCCCGCGTGCTGGGGGCCGCTCGGCGAGGTGCTCGGCGCGCTCGCGAAGTTCGACGCGGACGCCGTGCGGTCCCTGCGGCGCTGCCGCCGGCTCTACGCGACGGTCGTCCAGGGCCCGCGCTGCGCGCAGAGCGTGGCGGCGCCCGAGAACGACTTCTTCTCGTCCGCGCTCGACGTGCGCTTCGGCAAGGTCCGCGTCGGCGCCTACGCGTGCGGCGGCGACGCGCGGCCCTTCGCCGACGGCGACGCCTGCGCGGCCTACGAGGCGGCCGTCGAGCTGCGCGCGTGGCAGGACCTCGAGCTCACGGCGGAGACGCTCCGCGAGGTCGGGCCGCACCTGGCTAGGCGCCGCGAGCGAAGGCTCGCGCACCCGGGCACGGCGGCGTCGGAGCGCGTGGCCACGGAGGCGGACCGCCGCAAGGAGCGGCGCCAGTACGACGACATCGCGAAGCAGAACGCCGAGAGCCTGCGCGACGGCCGCGCGCTCGGCGCGCTGCCGGAGGACGAGCTCCGGGCGCAGCTCGCGGCCGCGTTCCCGGCGCTCGACGTCGACGCGGCGATCTTCGCGCGGCCCGCCGCGGCGACGGCGGCGCTCCGCGGCGCCGACGAGTCCGACGGGAGCGACGGGTCCGACGGCGGCGGCTCCGACGACGACGGCGGCTACGACAGCGACGACTCGCCCGCGCAGCGGCGCCACGCGTTCCGCGGCGTGCTCGCGCGGCGCGGCGCGGCGGCGCCGGCGACGGCGCGCTGCGGCCTCGTGGCGCTCGCGTGCCTCGACGCGCTCCTGGGCCCGGAGCCGCGCGCGCGGCCGCCGGCGGCCTGGGCGCCCTTCGCGGGCGCGTCCGCGGCCGCGGTGCTCGTCGGCGTCGCGCTGCGGGGCCTGAGCGCGGACCAGTCCGTGGGCGGCACGCTCGAGATGGCCTCGCTCCGCGGCCCGGCGCGCTGGGACGTCGTCGACGGCCTGAGGTTCGCGGTCGCCGCCGACGGCGCGCTCGGCGCCGACTCCCGGGGCGCCCGGGCCGCGGCGCTGCGCCTCGGCGTGCTGCTGGGCGGCCGGAAGGCCAAGGGCGGCGGCCGGCACCTCCGGTGCCCGCGCGCGCGGCTCGCGGTCGTCCGCGCGGCGCTCGCGCGCGAGGACCGCGAGAGCGACCACGGAATCGAGCTCGGCCGCGCGGCGCGGGACCTCTGGCGGCGGCGCGGCGCGCTGGGCCTCGACGACGGCGCCTTCGCGGGCCTGGGCCTCGGCGGCCCGCCGCCGGCGTACCCGACGGACGACGTGCCCGGCGGCAACCCCGTCGCGCGCGTCGTCGGCGAGAAGTCCAAGTGCGTGTCCATCCGCGACGACCAGGCCGACGCGTCGACGCTCTACGTCAACGTCGAGCGGCACTGCCTCGAGCACTACGCGCTCGAGGGCTGGTGGGGCGCGCACGACGAGGGGCGGCGGCTCCTGCCGCTCTTCCCCCTCGTGCTGCGGCCCGCGCTCTTCGCTCCGGCGCCGGACGCCTTCGTCCACCCCTTCCAGGTCGCGCCCCGCGACCTCGGGCGGCCGCGGTTCTACGAGGCGCGCGAGGCGCTCGTGGAGGCGCGCCTCGCGGCGCTCGCGATCTTGGACGGGCCCGGCCTCGCGGCCGCGCTCGCGGCCGAGCGCCGCGCGCTCTTCGGCGTCGACCACCCCTTCCGCGGCGACCACGTGCCCCTCAGATACCTCCAGGCCCTCGCGCTGGGCATGGGCGCGGCGGCCGTCGCGGCGCTCGGCCGCGTCGCGGCGCTGCGGTGGCGCGGCTCGGGCCTCCCGGACCTCACGCTGCTGCGCGCGGACGTCCTCGGCGACGACCTCGCCACCTGGACGCCCCTGGCGCCGGAGGACGTCGAGGACCGGCTCGTCGCGCCCCGGGCCTTCGCGAAGAGCTTCGCGGCCGCGGTCCGCGCGGCGCGAAGGCCGAGGCGCCGCGGCGGCGGCGGCGGCGACGACGACGGCGAGGAGGCGCTCCGGCGCGACGAGCCCGAGGCGGAGGACGCCGACGACGACGCGCGGGCCGCGGCGGCGGCGGCGCGGCGGGCCTGGCTCGAGGAGGGCCTCGACAACGTCTTCGACGCGCGCGCGCCCGCGGCCGGCGCGCTCCGCTTCGCCGCGGCGCTCGTCGAGGTCAAGTCGCAGAACGACCGCCTCGCGGCGCACCAGGAGCTCTGGATGCGCGACCTCCTCGCGGCGGGCGTCGACGCGCGCAAGGCCCGGCTCACCTACTCCGCGGAGTACAAGGCCGAGGCCAAGCGCCGGAAGAAGGAGCAGGCGGACTAACACTTTACCGCGGCGGCTCGGCCGCGTCCCAGTAGCTCGCCCCGTAGGAGTATTGGAGCTCCTCGCCGGCGGCGATGTCGCGCACGGCGAAGAAGGCGAGGCGCGGTTCCGCCAGTTCGCGGTCCACCCGCGTGTCGACGTTCGCCGCCAGCGTGCCGTTCTTCGCGTCGTTCATGAAGCGGCACCAGTTGGACCGGTGGAAGTCCTCGGCGTCGACGAACGTCGACCCGAGGTCGAAGAGATAATCGCCCGTCATGGGCACGCGGCGGCGCACGCGGTCGCGGAACCACGCGACGTCGCGCGCCGTCGCGTCCGCGCCGTCCCAGTAGCGGCTCGCGACCTCGCGCCGCGTGCACGTCTCGCCCTCGTAGAACGCGATGTGCGCGCGCGCCGCGATCGGCGCCGTCGCGTAGGCGCCGGCGCCCTTGCCGGCCGTCGCGGCGATGCGCACGCCGGCGGCGCGGGCGCTCCGCATCGCGCGGCAGTGCGCGTAGGGCAGTTTGACGCTTTGGGCGATTGCAAATAGCAATTGTGCAACGCGACGCATCCGTCTGCTGTGTGCGGCTGGCATTGTGCGACGGCGTCCGTTGCGGCAACAGCAGGCTCCTCTTGAGATCTCGAGAGCAGCTCGTCAAGACCGCGGCAACACTTGGTCAAACAAGCGTGTTTACCCTGGGCTAAAAAACGGACCGCCCAGCCCCAGACGTCCCGCAGCGCATCCCGCCGTCGTTTCGCAGCGCCGCCGCGATGCAGGTCGAGATGCCGAGCGCCGGCGGCGCGCCGTACAGCTACTCGCGCATGGTCGAGGTCATCAACGCGTCGTCGGCGGAGAGCGGCGTGTCCGTCGAGGTGAAGAAGCAGTGCGCCGACGGCACCTACATGCCCGCCGACGACGCGGACCTCAAGACGGCGGACTTCGACATGAAGCTGAGCCAGTGCATCAACGCCGTCAGGGACCTGCCGCGGGCGCGGAAGCTGGCGTTCTCCAAGGAGATGCGCGACGCGGGCAACGTCGCGTACGCGAACGGCGACCACGGCGAGGCCGTGCAGCTCTACGCGCAGGCCATGGCGGGCCTCGACCAGTCCGGCGACGAGGGCATGAAGGACGAGGCGCGGCGCACCATCGCCCTGCCGATTCTGACGAACATGGCCGCGAGCTTCCTCGAGATCCGGCGGCCGCGGCAGGCGCTCGACCTCTGCGACCAGGCGCTCGGCATCGACGGCGGCTGCGTCAAGGCCCACCTGCGCAAAGGCAAGGCGCTGCTGGATCTGGACCGCTACGCCGAGAGCCGCGCGTCCTTCGACGCGGCGCTGGGCGCGGCGAGGACGCCCGCGGAGACGCGCGACGCGGAGGTCTACCGGCGGAAAGTCGGCGAGGTCGGCAAACGCGTCAAGGAGGAGACGAAGGCCTACAAGTCGCGGCTCCAGGGCAGCTTCGCCGACAAGGCGGGCGCGGGCCTCTACGGCGACAAGCCCCGGCGCCGCCGCCGCACGGACGGCCAGGTCGACAAGGTCCTCGCGGAGTGCTTCGACGACGCGACGGGCGCCGCGCCCGCGTCGACGAAACCGGCGACGCGCCGGCCCGCGAAGCTCGACGCGGAGCAGAAGCGGCTCCTCAACGACGCGCTCATCCTGCTCTGGATGTTCCTCTGCTTCGTCGTCGTCGGCGCGTACGTCGCCTACGGCGAGGCGCTCGCGCGCCACGTCACGGAGACGTACCTCCACGACGACGACGTGTACGCGGACCCCTTCGCCGAGGCGGGCGAGGACACGACGGACTACAGCGCCTACCTCAAGCGCGCGCGCAACGTCGGCTCCGAATAAATTTTTTAGAGCGCCCGCGCGGCCGGACCTGCGTGTCGGGTCGCGTTCCAGAGCGGGGGGGCGGAGGGCAGGCGCCCGGCCCCGCTCAACTATATGGCGACCGGCGGTGGCTCTGGCCCCAAACCAAATGACCCGGAAGAGCACGCGCCCCGAGGGGCGGCTCCCGCGGGAGATACCGGGGGCGAAGGACGCAAAGAAAACACGAAAGAAGACGCCGGCGTCCGCGCCTAGGCCCGGGGCCCGGAGCCCGCGATGTTCGCGCCGTGCGGGTGGTCCTTGCCCGCGTAGATCTTGAGCCGCGTCGCGAACGTTTGGCGCAGCTTGTTCTTCGGGAGCATGCCGAGCACGGCGCGCCGCAGGACCTCGCCGGGCTTGCGCCGCTGCATCTCCTTCGCCGTGCGCTCCTTGAGGCCGCCGGGGTAGCCCGTGTGGTGCCGGTAGAGCTTCTGCGCCCACTTCTTGCCCGTGAAGACGAGCTTGTCGGCGTTGACGACGACGACGAAGTCGCCGTGCTCGTGGCGGTGCGCCTCGAACTGGGGCTTGTGCTTGCCGCGCAGCACGGGCGCGATGCGCGCCGCGAGCCGCCCGACGCTCACGCCCTCGGCGCAGTCGACGAGGTGCCACTGCGCCGGCTCGATGGGCCGCGGCGGAGCCGAGGCCACGTGCGTCGCGAGCCGTCGTCGCGGGGCGGCCTCCGGTCGTCGCACGGGCGCGACGTGGGCCCAGGCGCGCGGCGCCGCGGCGCAGAGGCTCGAGCGCGCGCGCGCGAGTGCCAGCATCGTCGCGGGCCACCCTGCGAGGCGCGGTGCGAGCCGCTCGCCGAGGCCGTCACTGCAGCTTCGGCTGGGTGGGGAGCAACATCTAAGACCTCGGCCGGCCGTCTCAGAGCCGAGGCGCTCTCGGCGCCGGCGCGTCGCGTTCTCGCGCGCAGAGGCGTCTCCGGCGGCGCTGCTGCGCACGGCCCTCGTGCATATGTGTGGCTACGCAGCGAAATAGCTCGCGACGTCCGGAACGTCGGCGGCGTCCCGTTCGTTGGTGTTTTCGGTCGGCGGCGCGCAGGGCCCCGAAAGGTGGTCGAGGACCGCTGCGGCGCTGCCACCAAAAGCGCCGAGCTCAGGGATCGCGCCGAGGCACCCCACGAACCCGGCGAACCGCCAAAGCCACTCAATTTTTTCGATCTCGCCCGCGAATGCGACGCCGAGGGTCTGCGCCGAAACGCCGACACGCGCTCGAACGCTGAAAAAACGTCGACTGACCCTCGAGACGCGCGGTCACGTGTTCGGCGCGACGATGGGACTCCCATGGGCCGCGCTCGTTGCCTCTACGGCACCCACGCTGCCCGAAGTTGCGCAAAATACGTGATCAAAGGGCTATTTGGTGCAAATCGACCCCTTTGCACCGATTTCTGGACCCGTGCGACCGCTTTCGACGGCGGAACTTTGCTCGCGCTTATTGCCGCAACATATCCGGAGCGTGTCGGAAGAAGAACGGCTGGAATCCATGCCATAGAGGCTGTGAGAGCTCCAAAAAGGCGGCTCTGAGGCTCTCTAGTGCTGCGAGAGCACCAAATCGGCTGATTCGGCCTCATCCGGCCGCCAGTCGTTCTCAGCGATACTGGCGCCCCCCGGGGCCGCCGGTACGTCTAATTGTAGCCTATACCCGAACGCTGCGCGTGGTGGCTCGCGCGCGCGTCGGGTGATGGCGAGTCGCTCGTAGGAGTCCGTCGAAGACGGGTCCAGCTGCAAGACGCGGGAGGCGTGAATGCGACCGCTGTCGGGCCCGAGAGAGCAAACCAAGTGCATGGACGCCGCTCCCATATGCGCTCGACGGACGCCGCCACCGAAAGCCACGCGATTTCGTCGAACGCACTCCAGCGCACCGCGCCGAGCACTTCCGCGTTTACGGCCGACGAGCCGCTCGCGACCAAAACATCGTGCGCCGAGCAATTCGACGCGCGCAAAGGCCCTGGACCGCCGCGCGCATATACTACGCGGGCCCCCGCAGCTCGTGGTCGAACGGGAACGCGATCGCGGGCCGCAAGAACCGATGCGATCACCGATCGACGCTTTGGAGCCGAAAAGTCGACCGCGCGCGTCGCGTTCACCGGCTCCACGAGCGCCCAAAAGCTGTCAGAGGACGTCTAAGGTTGTCCGCCGGTGGCGACAACAGCGGCCGCCCCGTAGACCACGAATGCGCGGCGCACGACGCCGTCCAAGGCGGGTTTTGCTCTCTGAGAGCCCAAGTCTTGTTTGCCGGGGCGAAGCTGCAGTGCCGTCCTTGCGGCAAACCTCGACCCCGGGTGCTTGCGAGCGACTCAAACTTGGAGCATAGACGCGAGGCCTGCGCTATCGACTAGCCCCGCCCGAGCCGCGGTCGAGGGCCTGGTTCGGCTCTCCGCGTCCGACGAACTTCTTGAGAGCGTGTTTCGAAACCTCGGGTCGCCGCGGCGGCCCGCCGGACGGCCGCTGCGCGCACAGCCCAATTCATACTGACTCACGCCAAACAAAGCGCGGGGAGAGTCGGCGCGCGGCCGAAGACGCGAACGCCGCGCGGACCAGCATCTTTTCCTCAACAGGCGAGGCTCATGAGCGCCCTCCCGCGCCGCATCGTCAAGGAGACGCAGCGGCTGACCCAGGAGCCCGGCGCGGCGGCGGCGTCCCTCCGCGCGCGCGCGCGGCCGGCCGCCCACCCCCGCGCCCGCGCAGTGCCCGGCATCTCGGCGACGCCCTACGAGGACAACCTGCGCTACTTCAACGTGCTGATCAGCGGCCCGACGGAGTCGCCGTACGACGGCGCGGTTCCGGCGCCGCCGCCTCCGCGCGCGCCGCGCGCCGACCCCGACGTCCGCAGGCGGCATCTTCAAGCTCGAGCTTTTCTTGCCGGAGGACTACCCCATGGCGCCCCCGAAGGTGCGGTTCCTGACGAAGATCTTCCATCCGAACGTCGACAAATTGGGACGCATCTGCCTCGACATCCTCAAGGACAAGTGGTCCCCGGCGCTCCAGATCCGCACGGTCCTCCTCTCCATCCAGGCGCTCCTCTCCGCGCCGAACCCGGACGACCCCCTCGACAACAACGTCGCGGAGCTCTGGAAGAAAAACGAACCGGAGGCGCTCAAGAAAGGTCCGCGCCCGCGTCTCTTTCGATCGATGCTGTTCTTTCGCTCGACTCCGCGCGCCCCTCGCAGCCGCCCTGTGGACAGAGACGTACGCGAAGGGCGGGTGACGGGCGGTCCGCTCCTCCGCCCCGCGCCGGATCGCCCGCGCGCGGGTGCTCTCGGCGCTCCCCGCTCTCCCGCTAGTTCATATACAAGTCCTCATTCCCGTCATCGCGAGGCTTGGGGAGGGCGGGAGGGCCGAGTCTTGTCGGGCGCTGTCGCGGCGCGCGAAGGCTGCGCGCGCGCGCGGCGTCCGTTGCAACGATCCGATCCGGGCCGATTTCAAGGATCTCGAGCGCATGGGAGTGCACTCCGGAGAGCATTGCAAAACCACGCCGCATCGCCGTCCGACCTCGCACACAACAGCACCATGTCGCAGTTCGGCCCGTCGACGCGCATCGGCGTGCTCGGCGGCGGCCAGCTCGGGCGCATGATGATCCAGGAGGCCGTGGACCTGGACGCGCGCGTCGAGGTCATGGACCCGAGCGCGGAGGCGCCGTGCCGCTACCTGACGCACCGCTTCGTCCAGGGCGACCTCTGCGACGCGGCGGCCGTCGAGGCCTTCGGGGCGGGCCTCGACTGCCTGACCATCGAGATCGAGAACGTGTCGACCGAGGGCATGGAGGCGCTCGAGCGGCGCGGCGTGCGCGTCGTGCCCAAGCCGGCGCACGTGCGCCTCATCCAGGACAAGGGCCTGCAGAAGCAGTTCTTCGCGGACAAGGGCATCGCGTCCGCGCCCTTCGTCCTGCAGGACGCGGACGGCGACCGGGGCGCGCTCGGGTACCCGATCGTCCAGAAGCTGCGGCGCGGCGGCTACGACGGCAAGGGCGTCGTCGTGCTCAAGGACGCTTCGGACGAATCCTACTTCAAGGGCGCGCCCTGCGTCCTCGAGCAGAAGGTCGCCATCGCCAAGGAGCTGAGCGTCATCGTCTGCCGCCGGTCGAGGGACGACGTCAAGGCGTACGAGCCCACGGAGTGCGTCTTCGACCCGCGGGGCAACGTCGTCCAGCTCATCGTCTCGCCGGCGGACGTCTCCGACGACGTCAAGGCCCGGTCCCGCGCGCTCGCGACGCGCGTCGTCGACGAGCTCGACTTCGTGGGCATCCTCGCGGTCGAGCTCTTCCTCGACGAGGCGGGCGAGATCCTCGTCAACGAGGTCGCGCCGCGGGCCCACAACAGCGGCCACCACACCATCGAGGCCAACGCGACGTCCCAGTTCGCCCAGCTCCTCCGCGTGACGCTCGACCTGCCCCTCGGCTCCGTCGCGCCCGTCCGCGACGCCGCGGCGATGGTCAACGTCCTCGGCGAGGCCGACGCGCCCAAGGGCGCGCCCCACTACTCGGGCCTCCGCGACGCCCTCGACACGCCGGGCGTCTACCCCCACCTCTACGGCAAGTCGTCCGTGACCCCGTTCCGCAAGATGGGCCACGTCACCGTCGTCGGCGACGACCGCGCCGCCGTCGTCGCGACGGCCAAGCACGTCCTCGAGTCCGTCGGCGTCACGTGCCTCAAGAAATAGGAAGCCCGCGTAAGCTTACTCACGGCGACTCGATGAGGTCGCTGCTCACGCGCTCCTCGAACTCGCCGCTGTCGTACTCGACGTCGTACGTCTCGTCGCCGTGGACCTTGGCGATCTTGCCCGGGTAGAACTTGCCCCGCCCCTTGTACCGCGCGACGACGGCCTCGCCGAGATTGAAGAACGGCTCCGGCTCCGGCTCGGGCTCGGGCTCGGGCTCGGGCTCCGGCTCCGCCTCGGGCTCGGGCTCCGCTTCGGGCTCCGGCTCGGGCGCGGGCTCGGGCTCCAGCTCGGGAGCCGCGACCGGCTCGGGCGCCGTCGCTTCAGGCTCGGGCGCCGGTTTCACCGGCGGCGCGAGCTTGAATTTCCTCGGCACCTTCACATGCTTTTGGAAGTCGATCTCGATGTATATTTGGATGTGGTCCTCGGGCACCGCGGGCTCCTTGTCGCCGTCGTCGTAGTCGACGGCGTAGGTGCCGTCGCCGTTGCGCGCGGAGACGACGCCCGGGAACGACTTTTCCTTGCCCTTGTAGCGCGCGAGGACGCGCTCGCCGACGGCGAACTTGAACGCGGGCAGTTCGCCGTCGGCGGGCGCGTCCGGCGCGGCGGCGGCGACGGGCCGTCGGATCAGGTTCCCCGGCACGGCGACCTCCGCGTCGCCGTCCTCGTACGAGACGTCGTAGGCGCCGTCGCCGTGGTCCTTCGCGACGCGCCCCGCGTACCACCGCTTCTTGCCCTTGTAGAGCGCCTGGACCGCGTCGCCGACGGAGAAGACGCCGGGCCGGGCCGCGGCGCCCCGGAGCCGGTCGAGGGGGATCTTCGACTCGCGCTCGCCCCCGGCAAAGTCGACGTCGTAGGTGCCCTCGCCGTTGTTCCGCGCGACGACGCCGGGCCACCACTCCTTGCCGTCCTGGTAGCGCGCCTCGCAGGCGTCGCCCGTCGCGAAGGGGGCCCGGAGCTTCGCCGGCGACGGCGGCGACTGCGGCGGGTCGGCCTTGGGCGGGTCGGCCTTGGGCGGGTCGGCCTTCTTCGGCGTGATCGCGAAGCCGGGGTCGACGCGGATCATGTCGGCTCGCACGCCGATCTCCGTCTCGCCGTCGCAGTACCAGATGTCGTAGGACCCGTCGCCCTGGACGCCGTCGATCTTGCCCGGGTAGTACTTCTCGCGGCCCTTGTAGCGCGCCTCGACGGGCTCGTTGCGGTCGAAGCGCGGCCGCACCGAGTCCCGCGCCACGCCCGCCTCGCCCTCGCCGAAGAGGTAGGCGACGTCGAAGACGTCGCCGGACTCGTCGACCTTTTTCACGACGCCGGGCTCGAAGGCGTCGCCGCCCGCGCGGCGCGCCTCGACCTTGGAGCCCTCGACGACCGTCGCGCGGATGCGCCGCACGAGCGCCCGGGGGATCTTCGCCTCGTCCGTGCCGCCGATGCCCAGGCCCGGGAAGTGGACGTCGCACAGACCGTCGTCGTCGACGGCGTCGACGAGGCCCAGGACGTACTCGGGCTTGCCCGCGTGGCGCGCCTCGACGCAGTCGCCGGCCGCGACGGCGCAGGCGCCGCCGGGCAGCAGCGTCATCCAGGCCGCGGGGACGCTCCGTTCGACGTCGCCGTCGCGGTAGCGCACGTCGAACGTGCCGTCGTCGTTCGACCCGAGGATCTCCGCGGCGAAGGCCTTCGAGGGGTTGCCCCGGAACCGCACGTCGAAGACGCCGCCGACGGACGCCCGCGCTGCGTCGAGCTTCGCGGCGAGGTCGCGGTTCGCGTCGCTGAGCTTGAGGTTCGCCGCCGCGCCGTCGCGGAGGCCCGCGCCGAACCGCGTCGCGTCCGCCGACGACTTCGCGCACTCGCTCGCGGCCGCCGCGAGGCTCCGGTCGAGCTCGGCGTCGTGGAACTCGAGCTCGGCGCGCAGGCCGCGCTCCTCCTTGAGCAGGTCCTTGAGCTCGTTCTTCCGCGCGACGGCCCTGGCGGCCTTGGCCGCGTTCGACGCGCACGACGCGTCCATCCACGCGACGCGCGCGCGCTCCTCGGCGAGCTGGCGCTGCAGGTCGCGCTTGTCGTCGTCGAGCTTCGTGATGATGCACTCGTAGAAGAAGCTCGCGTCGCTCCGGCGCTTCGGCGGCTTCACCTCGAGGGGCCCGCGGCGGCCCGTGACGACGGGGCGGCCCCGCGTCGCGGCGAGCGCCGCGCGCGCGTCGGCCTCGACCTGGCGCACGCGCGCGGCCCGCAGCGACGCCTCCAGGGCGAGCGACGCGTCGACGACGCCGCCGCAGCGCGTCGTCAGCTCCGGCGTCGCCGCGTCGGCCGTCTCGACGAGCGCCGTGAGATGCTTCACGCCGCCCGCCGCGAGGACGTACTGCGCCTCGACGGGCGGCAGCACCTCGTCGCCCCAGTCCAAACCCGCGGCGCCGAGCTGTTCCACGCGCTGCGCCAGCAGCATCATGGCCACGCTCTTCGTCATCGTGCCGGACGTCGCCGCGAACTGGCCGTCCCAGCGCGCGTCCCAGGTACCCGCGGGCACGAGCTTCCTGGCCTCCGCCAACGTGAGCTCGCACTCGAGGTGCTCGTCCGCGAGGGACGCGGCGGCGCCCATTGCGGGCTGCCCGGAACTGACGACGAGGATGTCGGCGCTCACCCAGGCGTTGCAGACGTCGATGCGGGCTGCCCGGAACCGACGACGAGGATGTCGGCGCTCTCCCGACAGGCGTTGCAGACGTCGATGCCGCTCGTTTTACAGGACTTCAAGAGCGTTTTTTGAAGCTCTCGCCACAAATTCCTCGACCCGCAGCGCAACTCGATATCCAACTTCTACGCTCAACACAATCATGCCTCTCTCCGTCGAAGACCAGTATGTACTCTCGGCGTCCCCACGACACCGCCGCTGAGTGAAAAATTGCGAGAAAATCGACCGGAAGGGGGAGAAATCGCGTGTGTATCCACCGTCGCGGGCGCGAGAGCCATCGCGCGTGTTCTCAGAGCGCATGTGTGGCGATCGCGAGGGACTATCGCGTGTGTGGCCCGATCGCCAAGAAACGCCCCGACCGGCGCCGACCGCGCGAACCGCGGCGCGATCGTCGCTCGACCGCCTCGACCGATCGCGAAGAACCGCGACCCGCACGCGCGACCGCCCCGATGCTATCGTCGCTCGACCACCTCGACCGATCGCGAAGAACCACCCCGATGCGCGCCGGACGCTCGACCGCCTCCCCCGTCGCTCCAGGTACCGCTACGCGATCCGCGTCATCGGCTTCGCCAACCTCACCTTCTACATCTTCATCTACGGCGACCGCTACTACTTCGACAGCAAGGCCGGCTACGCGTGGAGCCCCGACCATTACGATGAGAAGGGTAACACGACGCTCGAGTTCGAGATGATGCTCATCTCGACCTACTTCGTCCTCGGCCTCTGCATGATCGGCGCGTCCTTCGACGACAACCTCGACAAGTGCGCGTGGCTCGTCAACTTCTGCATCTTCGGCGCGTTCGGCGCGCACGGCGTCGCGATGATCTTCGGCGCGCTCAACGACTGGGAGCGCGAGTGGGGCCACGTCATGCCCTACGGCGACGTGCCCCTGCTCATGGTCTTCTCCACCGTGCTCTACATCCTCAAGGGCAAGTACGAGGGCCTCAAGGCCAACTAGAGCAAGACACTGCCAGGACATCTCTAGAGCGCGCGCACCCCGAAGCCGCGCCGCGTCGCCTCCCGCCCCCCCGCCCCACCACGTGTACACACGAGGAGCCGAACCGCACACACACTAAAACAGCCGCCTAGAGCTCGCCGTAGCGCCTCCGCTTCGCGCCGCCGGACTCGCCGGACTCGCCGGCCTCGAGGCGCGCGAGCGCCTCCGCCTCGCGCGTCGCCCGGTCCTTCTTCGACTTCTTCTTGCGGCCGAACCTGTGGGACGGGGGCGGTGCGCGCGGCGGAATGCGCGCGGGCCGGCGCGGAGAGCAAACTCGTCGTACCCGTCCTCCTCGACCTGGGGCTTCGCGTAGTCGCGGTCACTTTGCCGCTCGTTGTAGCCGCCCGCGCGGCCCTCGCGGTCGCCGCCCGCGCCGTCGGGCTTGGAGACGCCGCACTTGTTGCACATGAGCCGCTTCTTCCAGTTCAGGTTCCCGCAGGCCGCGCAGTTCCAGTCGCCGGGCTCCGGCCGCCGGCCCTTGCCGCCCTGGCCCCGGTCGCGGTGGTCGCCGCCGCCCTTGCCGCCCGCGGACATGGGCTTGCACTCGCCGCAGCGGTTGCACTCGTCGCGCCGCGCGAAGTTCACGTTCGAGCAGTTCGGGCACGGCCAGTCGCCGTCGCGCCCGGGGCCGCCGCGGCCGCCGCCGCGGCCGCCGCCGTAGCCGCCGCGGCCGCCGCCGCGGTCGCGGTCCGAGTAGCCGCGCGGGCTGCGGTCGCGGTCGCGGTCGCGGTCGCGGTAGTCGCCGCCGCCGCCGCGGCCGTAGTCCCGCGGCGAGAACGCGCCCTTGCCCTTGCCCTTGCCCTTGCCCGGCGGCGGCGGCGGCGGGCCGCCCTCGAGCGGCTCGATGAGCACCGAGTTGCGGGACAGGTTCGGCGTCTCGCGCATGCGCTCAATCCAGCTCGACGAGGGGTCGCGGAGCGTCTTCCGCTCCCGGGAGTCGTCGCCCATTTTTGGCCGAAGCGGTCGGCGCCGGCGGCGCCGCTGGCTGCCACTTGGACCTCAGGCTGATCGACGTCGCCGGCGTCGGCTCAAGTCGTGGCGCCGGCGCCGCGGCGCCCAGGAAGGCCTCCAGGACGCCTCCCAGGCCGCGCCGCGCTGCCCGAGGCCTCGCCCGCGACGGCGTCCGTCGCACCGCCAACGCCCCTTCCACGCCCAAGAGGCGTGGCAAATTCATCGGCGTGTTTTTTGTGTTAAACCAGGCGTCATGGTCGCGGCGCGCTCAGTGGACGACCTCGAAGAGCCCCGCGGCGCCCATGCCGCCGCCGATGCACATCGTGACCTGCGTGCGGCGCGGCGTCGGCGCGGCGCGCGGAAATTGAACACAAAGAAGGAAGGGAAGGCAGGGAAGCCCTCGGAAACGTCCTAGACGATCTCCTCCACACGGGGGTTCAAAAATGGGTCAAAATTTGAGTTCTGGTCTTTGGGAAGTTCTTCGTCATCGGGCCGGGTCAAGAGAGGAACGGACGCGGGCGGACGCGCCACTACGTGCTTGGCCTTGCGGCGCTGGCCCTCGAGGAGCACGTGGCCGACCATGCGCGAGCCCGTCATGCCGAAGGGGTGGCCGATGGCGATGGAGCCGCCGTTGACGTTGCACTTCGCCGGGTCGACGCCGAGCACGCGCATGGCGTGGAGCGGCACGACGGCGAAGGCCTCGTTGATCTCCCAGAGGTCGATGTCGTCCACGGTCAGCCCCGCCTTGGCCAGCAGCTTCGGCACGGCGACGACGGGCCCGACGCCCATCTCCTCGGGCGCGCAGCCGCCGACCGCGAAGCCCTTGAAGATGCCCAGGGGCGCCGTGCCGCGCTTCGCCGCGAGGTCGCCGTCCATGACGACGCAGGACGACGCGCCGTCGCTCAGCTGGCTCGCGTTGCCGGCCGTGATCGTCGCCGACGCGTCGTCGTCGCCGCGGACGGGCGCGAGCTTCTCGACGCTGGCGAGCGTCGTGCCCGGCCGGTTGCACTCGTCCTTGGTCACGGTGTAGGCGACCTCCGAGACCTCGCCCGTCTCCTTATCCTTGACGGACATGACCGTGTCCATGGGCACGATCTCGTCGTCGTAGAAGCCCGCGGCCTGCGCGGCGGCCGTGCGCGCCTGGCATTCCACGGCGTAGGCGTCCTGGTCCTCCCGGGAGACGCCGTACTTGGCCGCGACGATGTCCGCCGTCTCGATCATGGGCATCCACAGCGCCGGGTAACTCCCCATGAGCTTCTTTTCGACGACCGTCGTCTTCGCGACGACGGGCTGGACCATGGAGATGGACTCGACGCCGCAGCCGATCGCGACGTCGGCGGCGCCGGAGCCCACGTGCATCGCCGCGGACGCCACGGCCTGGAGGCCCGAGGAGCAGAAGCGGTTGATCGTCGCGCCCGACGTCGTCGCCGGGCAGCCGGCCCAGAGCGCCGCGTTGCGCGCGATGTTCATGCCCGTCGCGCCCTCGCCGAAGCCGCAGCCGGCGATGACGTCGTCGACCTCGCTCGGGTGCACGCCCGCGCGCTCGATGGCGTGCTGGATCGTGTGGCCCAGCATGGCCGCGCCGTGGGTCTTGTTGAAGCCGCCGCGGAAACTCTTGGCCAGGCCCGTGCGGGCCGTCGACGCGATGACCACCGTCTTCGAGGCCATCTTGTCGGTCGCACGGAGGCGGCGGTGGGCGAGCGAGTGGTCGTCGCGCTCCGAGGTGCAAGGCGTTTCTCGCCTCAAGCTCAGCGAGCGGCTCGCCACCCACGCCGCCACCGACGCGTCGCGCGCGCGGCCGACGACAGCTTATAAACCCGCCACGGGACCGGAGAGCGATCGCATCGATGCTCCGCGCCGGCTCGTCGCGCCTCCTGGCCTTTCGCCCCGCGCCGGCCTTCGCCGCACGAGCAGCACCGCTCTCGCCGCCGCTCGGCGCCTGCGCCGCGCGCGAGTTCGCGTCGGGGCGGAGCAAGCGGGGCATCTACGCGGGCAAGGACGTGCGCTCCGGGAACAACGTGTCGTTCTCGCACCGGAAGACGCGGCGGACGTTCAAGCCGAACGCGCAGCGGAAGCGGCTCTGGAGCGCGTCGCTCGGCTGCTGGCTGCGCTTCAACGTGACGACGCACGCCCTGCGCTGCATCGACAAGGCCGGCGGCATCGACGAGTACTTGTTGGGGACGCCGGACGCGAAGCTCGACTCCATCTCCGGGCAGAACGCGAAGCGGCTCGTCGAGGCCGCGCGCGCGTCCGAGGGGGGGCAGTCGTAAGCGAGGCCGGGTTTAGCAGCTACGGCGAAGGGGAGAGGGGGAGCTTGGGGCCGATCGGGGCGGGGCCGCTTCACTCGCCCATCCACTTGGGCGCGCGCCACGTCTTGCCCGCGTAGACGGCGTCGTCGCCGAGCTCGGACTCGATGCGGAGGAGCTGGTTGTACTTGGCGAGGCGCTCGCTGCGGCAGGGCGCGCCCGTCTTGATCTGGCCCGTGCAGAGGCCCACGGCGATGTCGGCGATGTACGTGTCCTCCGTCTCGCCGGACCGGTGGCTCGTCATGATGCCCCAGCCCGCCTGCTTGGACATCTTGACGGCGTCGATGGACTCGGAGACGGAGCCGATCTGGTTGACCTTGAGGAGGAGCGCGTTGCAGGCGTCCTCCTCGATGGCGCGCTTGATGCGCGACGGGTTCGTGACGGTGATGTCGTCGCCGACGGACTGGACCGTCGCGCGGACCTTGGGCGAGAAGTTGGTCCAGGCGGCCCAGTCGTCCTGGTCGAAGGCGTCCTCGATGGTGACGATGGGGTACTCGGCGCAGAGGTCCGCGTAGAAGTCCGCGAGCTCGGCCGCGGTCATCTTGAGCTTCGGGTCGTCGCGCTCGTCCGCGGGGTAGAAGGTGCCGAGGTCGTAGCAGTCCTCGCCGTCGACCTTGAACTCGGACGCGGCGACGTCCATGCCGATCTCGCACATGCCCTCGTAGCCCGCGGCCGTGATCGCCTCCATGACGAGCTCGACGCCTTCCCGCGCGTCGCAGGGCGGCGCGAAGCCGCCCTCGTCGCCGATGAGCGTCGCGTCGCCGCCGAACTTGTCCTTGATGATCTTCTTGAGCGCGTGGTAGCACTCCGTGCCCACGCGGAGGCCCTCGGAGAAGGAGCTCGCGCCCGTGGGGATGATGAAGTACTCCTGGAACGCGAGCTTGTTGCCCGCGTGGGAGCCGCCGTTGATGACGTTGAAGGCCGGCACGGGCAGCACGTTGGCCTCGCTGTTGCCCGCGAGGTCCGCGATGTGCTTGTAGAGCGGCACGCCCTTGGCCGCCGCGCCCGCCTTGGCCGCCGCGAGCGACACGCCGAGGATCGCGTTCGCGCCGAGGTTCGCCTTGTTCGGCGTGCCGTCGAGGTCGATGCAGAGGTTGTCGATGGCGCGCTGGTCCGCCGCGTCCATGCCGCAGACCGCCGGGCCCAGGACCTCGTTCACGTTCTTGACCGCCTGGAGGCACCCCTTGCCGAGGTAGCGGCCCTTGTCGCCGTCGCGCAGCTCGCAGGCCTCGTGCACGCCCGTCGACGCGCCGGAGGGCACGGACGCGCGGAACATGCCCAGCGACGTGAACATCTCCACCTCGACCGTCGGGTTGCCCCGCGAGTCGAGGATCTCGCAGGCCTTGACGGCCGTGATCGTGCCCGCGCCCTCGGCGGCCATCGCCACCTGGCGCGGCGTCTGCGACAGCTTGGACGCCGGGGCGAAGGCCGTGGCGCCGGCGAGCAAGAGGAGGGAGGCCTTCATGGTGTGAAAGAGTGCTTGATGTCTCGACAACAGATGCGACGGCGAGGCTCGAAGAAGCGCGGCTTCACTTCAATTCGCAAAGGCACCATCGGCAAATTGGACTCGTGTTGCCGTCCACTACTTCGTCCAGTCCACAAAAACACACATTAGCGGCCCACGCCCTCCGCGAACTCGTCGCGGTCGATGGTGCCGGAGTTGTCGAGGTCGATGGCGGCCATGACGTTGTCCAGGAAGATGGGCGACGGCGGCGCGCCGTTGCGCCGCTCGAGCGCGACGGCGACCTCGTCCCGCGTGAGCTGGCCGTCGCCGTCCAGGTCCAGCTCGTCGAAGCTGCCGAGGCGCCGCCAGAGGCCGTGCGCGTGGAGATACAGGACGCAGTTGAGCATGGGCAGGAAGTCGTCCTCGGACCCGAGGCCGCCCTTTGCCGCGAAGTCGACGAGGGGCCGCACGTCGAAGATGCCCTTGAAGAGGTTCCGCGGCAGCGCGACGGCGTAGGTTCTGCGCCGGTCGAGGGGCGCGCCGCCGACGGCCGCCAGCGCGCCGGCGCCGTCGACGTCGCAGGCGTCGCAGAGCTGGAGGAAGCCCCGCTCGTTCGCGCCCGGCGACCGCGAGTGCGCGACGGCGTCCGCGAGCACGGCCCCCGGCAGGTCGACGACGACCATTTTGGTAGGAAACGGCAGCTCGCGGCGCAGGTCGAGGAACGAGAGCGCGTCGCCGCCGTAGTCGCGGTCGCCCTTGACGCTGCCCCCGTTGACCGCCGCGGCGTCGCAGCCGAACCAGGCCCGCGTCGCCGTGCAGAGCGCGGTCCCGACGGACGTCTGCTCGAAGCGCGTCCGCCGCGACGACAGCGGCCCCGCGCCGCGGACGACCTTCTCCGCGTCGAGCGCCGCGAGCATGTCCGTCTGGTCGGCGCACGCGGCCGCGACGGCCGGGTCCTCGGCGTGGGAGGCCACGTCCTCGAAGGCCACGGCCGCGGTCCCCGCGACGACGTCGAGGTCGCAGACCGCGGCCGTCGTCGCGTCCGCGCCTGGGCAGGACAAGAGAGCGAAATTCCCAACTTCAAAGGCTCCTAGCTCGGCCGGTTTCCACTCGTTTCGGCTAATTTTTGGACGAGCGATCATCTCTCGGAGCGCTCTCGACGCGTGGATGCTTTTTCCGGAACGCGCGTGCGCGGAACACTCATGTTGAAGCGACGTTGAATCACCCTTGTGCTGCCCTGGTCCGCGCCGGCTTTGACGACGGGGCACCGGTCCGTGCCCGCGAGGATGACCTCGTGCTCGTGGCCGCCGAGGATCAGGTCCACGCAGCCGCTCCGCGCGAGCGCGTCGTCGGCGGCGAGGGACTGGTGCGTGAGCGCGACGACGCGCTCGCAGCCGTTTGCCCGGAGCTCGCGCGCGAGCGTTTCCGCGGTCGCGAGGCTGTCCGCGATCTCGAGGCCCCGGAACGTGTCGCCGCGGAAGACGCCCGGCTCCGACGTCAGGAGGCCCAGGAGGCCCACGCGGCCGCCGAGGACCGTCGCCGTCGCCGCGAGGCCGGGCACGGCCCCCGGCACGTTGCCGTTGAGCACCGCGCCCTCGAACTCGCCGCAGCGCCGCGCAAGCGCGGCGAGGCCGACGTCGGCCTCGTGGTTGCCGAGGCACGCGAAGTCGACGCCGACGAGGTTGAGCACGCGGACCATGCCCCGGCCGCGGTCGAGGCCGCTGAGCACGGACGGCGACACGAAGTCGCCCGCGAGCGTCGCGATGGTATGCGGCCGCGTCGCGCGGACGCGGTCCAGGAGCGTCTTCAGCCGCGGCAGGTGGTCGAGCTCGTAGACGTCGTTGACGGCGACGATGGTCAGCGTCGACGCATCGGCGTCGGTCGCGGCGCGCCGTCGCAGCGGTGCGCGATGGAGTCTCTGGTGCTGGAGTCTTGGGTGCTGTCGCGTTGCGTGATGTCGCGTTGTGATGTGCCGCGTTGCGTGTCGCATCTTTCTGCGTTGCCAACGACCACTACGATGCCGGACCAAGGCGCTTATGGCCCCATTCTAAGCACCGAAGTTCGAGCCCATCGGTTTAGGATGCATCGATCCGGCAATTTCACTTCAACATCCTCGCCGGCGCCATCAAGCCTCCATCACCGCCGCCCAGCTGCCTTGAACGTGACGCGTGTGCCGCGCGGGTCTTAGTGTGTGTGCGCGCGCGCCGGCGGTGGTCGGTCCGCCGGTGCCTACATCTGGAAGGACGTGAGGCCGACGTCCTTGGCGGCGGAGAGCTGGGCGATGGCCATGCAGCGCACGGTGGAGAGCTCGATGAGCTCGTCCTTGTCGCGGCAGTGGGCCATGGCCTCGCCGAGCATGTCGACGACGTCCTGCGCTTGGTCGAAGGACGCGGCGAGCTGGAGCTTGAGCTCCGAGAGGCGCATGAGCGCGACCATGCAGGTCGGGTCGACCTTGAGGGCCGCCTCGAAGAGCTTCTGGGCGTTGTGGGCCTCGAACTGGTTCATCTGGATCAGCGTGAGGCCCTTGTTGTAGAGCGGCACGGGGTTGGACGCGTCGAGCGCGATGGCCTTGTCGAACTGCGCGACGGCGCCCGGCAGGTCCTGCTTCGCGAGGAGGATCTCGCCCTTGACCTGGAAGACCTCGGACATGGTCGGCGCGAGGCGCTCCGCCGCCGCGATCTGCGCCTCGATGGCCTCCGGCGGCGCGCCGCGGTGGATCAAGACCGTCGCCAGCCGGAGCCGCGCGAGGACGTGGCCCGGCGCGGCCTCGATGCAGGCCTCGAGGTCGGCCTGGGCCGCCTCGAGGTCGCGGCGGATGACGCGGAGCTGGGCCCGGTGCATGAAGACGTCCGACGCGTGCCGCCGGTCCGGGTCGTCCGCGAGCGCGGCCTCGAGCTGCGCGTCCGCGGCCGCCATGTCGCCCGCGTCGACGAAGACGCCCGCGGCCTTGACGCGCGTCTCGACCTTGCCGGCGACGGTGGACTCCTTGGCCAGGGCCGCCTCGTAGGCCGCGGACGCGCCCGCGAGGTCGTGCGCGAGGTGCTTGTAGAGGCCGACGCTCCGGTGGAGCTCCGCGACCAGCGCGTCGCCGAACGCCTCGGGCGTCGGCGACCGCTCGTAGGCGACGCCCGCGAGCTCCACGTCCTTGCGCGCCGCCTCGTAGCGCTTCTCGTAGGTCGCCTTGCGCGCGCGGCGGAGGAGCACGCCCGCGGTCTTCGCGCCGTCGCCGCGCGAGGCCTCGAGCTCGGCCTTGAAGCCCGCGGCGTCGACCTCGCGCGCGGCCTCGGCGACGCGCGCCTCGTAGTCCACGTAGGTCATGAGGAGCTGCGTGATCGTGTTCGCCGACGGCATGCCGAACGACGACGCGGACGCGGACCGCTTCTCGAGCGCGTCCTCGGCCGCGCGCTTGCCCACCGCGCGCATGACGGCCTCGACGTTCTCCACGGGCGTCGGCTGCTCGGCCTGGCGCCCGGCCTGGAGCGCCTTCTTGAACGCCTCGCGCTGGATCAGCAGGTCCGCGCAGATCTCCACGAGCGCCTCGACGGGGCGGCCGAGCTTCTCGTAGATGCGCGCGCGCCGCCGCCGGACCTTGGCGTGCATGGCGTTGGACTCCAGGACGACGGCGCAGTCGCTCAACGACGCCTCGAGGTCGTCGCAGCGCTCGCGGCAGGCGCTCCGGTTGTTGTAGAGCGCGACGCGCTGCGACGCCAAACTCGCGTGCGCCTCGGCGAGCGCGATCGCCGTGCTGAACCACGCCGCCGCGTCGCCGTAGCGCGGCGGCGACGCCTTGAAGAGCTCGAAGGCCTTCTGCTTCGCCGCGTTGAACTCGGCCTTGACCTCGTCCGCGCAGACCTTGGCCTCGTCGCCGCCGGCCGCGGCCTCGGGCGCGTCGACGACCATCGGCTCGGGCTCCTTCTCGTCGAGCTCGCCGCTCTCCGGCGGCGGCTTCTTCAGCGCCCAGAACACGAGCGCGCCGAGGCCCAGGGCCGCCGCCGCGCCCAGGGCCAGCGTCTTCTGGTCCTTGCTCATGCCGGGCATGGTTTCAAAGCGCCAGCTGGCGGTGTCGCTAAACCGGTACGCGCGAAGCGCCCGGCGGCGTGGCTCTTCGGCGCACTGCCTGCGGCGACGACGCGCTGCTACGGCGCACCGAGCCGACGCGGTCGTGCCGCGGCGCCGCGCCGCTGGACGCGCGCGAGCTCTTGGGCGAGGACGGCTGGCCAGCTCGACCCCGGGACGCGCGGCCTCCTCGGCGCCGGCCCGGCTCGCCGCGCCGCTGTGGCAAGACCCGAGCAGAGGCTGGTGCGGCCGATAGCCGCGCGAAGTGAAGCGCTGCGCGCGCACACCCGAGCGCGGGCGCCGCACGCGGCGCGCCGCCCGTGTGGCAGCCAAAGACCCGCACGCTGTGCCGGCCGATAGACCGCGCAGAAGCGCCTGTTGCGAACCCTACGAGCGCAAAACCCGCCATGTCGCGGACGACCTGCGTCACGCTCCGACCGACGCTGGAAGAGTTCCGCGACTTCGACGGCTTGCTGGAGCGCGCGGAGCGCGAATCGAACGGCCGCGGCATCGTGAAGATCACGCCGCCCGACGGCTGGTTCGAGGGCGCGGCGGCCGTCGCCGCGGAGCTGATGGGCGCGCCGCGGCCCGAGGACGCGACGGCGGCGGAGGCGGCGGCGGCGGACCGCGCGGCGCAGCGCCTCGCGCGGACGGACGTGCGGCCGATGCGCCAGTGCGTCTCCAACCCGACGGGCGCCAAGGGCGCGTTCGACGTCGCGCTCATCCCGCAGCACAAGACGAGCGTCGCCGGCTTCCGCGCCTGGGCCCGGCGCCGCGAGGCCGACGACGCGCGGCGCGCGGAGGAGCAGCGCGCGCGCTTCGAGCGCCGCGGCGTGCGCGCGCGGGGCCGCGGCGACGACGACGCGGCCGTGCCCGACGACTTCCCCGACGCCGCGGACGTCGCGCGGCGCGCCGCGGACTTCTGGCGCACGATCGGCCCCAACGAGGGGCAGCCGGCCCCGGAGTACGGCGCGGACGTCGACGCGTCGATCTTCGCGGGCGAGGACGAAAGCGCGGGCAGCGGCTGGAACCTGCACGGCATGCCCTCCTGCCGCCTGCGGCCCTTCCTCGCGCGCGTCGGCGCGTCCATGCCCGGCGTGAACCGGGGCATGCTCTACTTCGGGGCGCCGCGCGCGTTCTTCGCTTGGCACGTCGAAGACGCGAACCTCTACAGCATCAACTACCTCCACTGCGGCGCGCCCAAGTCCTGGTACGCGCTGTCGCCGGAGCGGTCCCGGGCCTTCGAGCGCTTGGCTGGTGACCACTTCCCCGAGGCCCAGAGCCAGTGCCGCGACTTCCTCCGGCACAAGAACACGTTCCTCACACCGCACCTCGTGGCGGCCGCCCCCGGGCTCCTCCAGTACGAGGGCGACATGGTCGAGTGCGTCCAGCGCGCCGGCGACATGGTCATCACCTTCCCCGACGCCTACCACTGCGGCTTCAACCACGGCTTCAACGCGGCCGAGTCGACGAACTTCGCGACGGACCGCTGGGCCGCCGTCGGCCGCCGCGCGACGTTCTGCAAATGCCAGCCGGACACGGTGCGCATCGACGTCGCGCGCTTCGAGGACTGGCAGCGCCGCGGCGACGAGGCCCTCGTCGTCGTCGAAGAGCCGGAGGAGGGCGGCGGCGAGACGCCGCCGCGGTCGCCGAAGCGGCCGCGCGTCGAGGGCACGCCGCGGCGCGCGGCGGCGACTTCGACGCGGCGCCCCCGCTGCAAGAAGTGCGCGGGCTGCCGCGCGCTCGACTGCGGCGCCTGCAAGTACTGCCTCGACAAGCCGAAGAACGGCGGGCAGAACAAGCTGAAGAAGCCGTGCGTGGGCCGCGTCTGCACCGCGATCGCGGCGGGGGCCTAAGAGGCGTGTGTGTTAGTTTACGCGCGGCTTAAGGCTGCGGGCGCGGCATCTGCCGGCTCAGAACGTCGCCTCGCAGTGACGGTCGCATGCTCGCCGTCGACGAGGCCGTGGTCGAGCTCCTTGCCGATGTCGTTGATGGAGGGGAAGAAGTCGAGGTGGACGCCGAGGACGAGGAGCTGGAGCGCGGAGACGACGGTGGGCACGAGGACGCAGCTCACGAGCCAGAACACGGGGAGCGCGTAGGCGTGGTAGGCGACGCCGTAGTAATCGTAGTCGTAGAAGCCGTACCAGGCGACGTAGGCCTGGGCCATGAAGATGATGAAGGTGAAGAGCATGAGGTGCTGGAGGACGACGAAGCCGAGCTGGACCTTGTTCCAGCTGTCGACGAGGAGGCACGCGCGGGCCATCATGGCCATGACCATGCCGACGAAGACGGCGGTGCCGAGGACCCAGACGTCCATGGCCTTGCCGTGGTCCTGCCAGACGGACATGGGCCGCCAGTAGACCTCGCGCGGGAGGTAGTAGATGGCGACCGACGCGGCGACGGCCTCGAGCGTGCCGTAGGCCATGTTCGTCACGTTGAGGTCCATGCGGTGGAGGCCCGCGGCGTAGAGCCGCGGGTACTTGTCCACGGTCGCGTCGGCGACGTCGTGGTCGAAGAGGCCAATGGCGAGGGGGATGAGGCCGAGGAAGAAGTTGAAGCCGCTGTAGACCCAGCTCTCGTAGAACGACGTGCCGCTCCACGCGCAGTCGGCCTGGAAGCAGAAGAGGACGAAGGTGAGGACCATGTTCTTGAAGAAGCTGTAGATGATGACCTTGGACATGCGGCGGTAGTTCTTGCGGCCGTGGTGGAAGAGGAGCGGCTTCAGGAACCGGAACTGCGCGATCGCGAAATCCGCGTTGTTCACGGCCTGGCGGCCCTCCTTGCCGCTGATGCCGACGCCGATGTTCGCCTCCTGGATCATGCCGACGTCGTTGGCGCCGTCGCCGATGGCGAGCGTGATGGGCGCCGGGTTCGTCTTGCGGCGCACGAGGCCGACGAGGATCCGCTTCTGCGCGGGCGACACGCGGCACGCGACGACGGCGCGGCAGCGGCTCGCGAGGCGCAGGAAGCGGTTCTCGAGGTCGTCGTCGCCGAGGATGGCCTCGAGGGCCGTCGCGCCCTCGATGATGAGGGCCGGGTGGTCGCCCTGGGACGCCGCCTCGGTCGCGGTCGCGTCGCCGCCCTCGACGTCCATGAGCGGGACCTTGTCCGCGGGCGCCTTCGCGGCCGACGCGACGGGCGCGGCGACGACGGCCTCGAGGGCCTCGAGCTGCGCGGCGACGCCGTAGTCGCCGAGCGGGCCCGCGTCCGCGCCCTCGACGGGGAGCTTGACGAGGTACATGTCGGGCGTGAGGAGGCGCGCGCTGTAGCCGATGTTGATGGCCGTCTCCATCTTGTCCCCCGTCAGGACCCAGAGCTTGATCTCCGCCTTGGCGAGCTCGGCGATCGTCGACGGCACGCCGTCCTGGAGCTTGTCCTCGATGGCCGTCGCGCCGACGATCGCCAGGTCCTTCTCGATGAGCGCCGCCGCGGCGACGAGCTTCTCCTTGCGCGCGCTGCCCAGGGCCGTCTCCGCCGCGTGCCACGCCTCGGCCCAGGCCTCGTACTCGCGGTCGCTCACGTCCCGCTGCGCGAGGACGAGCGTCCGCAGGCCGTCGCACGCGAACTTCTCGAGGTCCGCGTTCAGGGCCTCGCGCCCGCCGGGAACCTTGGCGTAGCCCGCCGCGGCGTCCGCGAGGCCGAAGACGATGTTGTCGGCGCCCTTGGTCATGACGCGGACCTTGCCGTTCGGGAGCCGCACGATCGCCGACATGCGCTTGCGCGTGCTGTCGAAGGGGATGGTCGCGAGGACCGTGTAGGACAGGGACGCGCCCTCGGTCCCGCTCGTCGACGCGAGCGCGACGTCGACGACGTCGACGGTGCGCGACGCGAACGCGAGGCCGAGGTCGCAGGCGCCCTCGACGAGCGCCTCCTCGTCGGGCGACTCCGCCTGGTAGCCCGTCGTCCCGTCCTCGCGGACCTCGGGGACGACGGTGTGGCAGACGGCCATGATGGCCGCGAAGTCGCGCTCGACGCCGTCGCCCGCGATGACGAGCTGCTTGAGCGCCTCGATGCGCGTCTCGCCGCCGTAGACGCCACCGCCGACGGCGCAGCCCTTGAACGTCATGATGTTCTGCGTGAGCGTGCCCGTCTTGTCGCTGAAGACGTGCGCGATCATGCCGAGGTCCGCGTTCATGTTCGACGTCCGCGCGAGCGCGGGCGTGTCCGACGCCTCGTCGTACATCTCGAGGTCGCGGTCGACGTAAAACGCCTGGCATAAGTTGATCATCTCGATGGTCACGTAGAGGGAGAGGGGGATGAAGTTGTTGTAGATGATGAAGAACGTGAACCACATGAACCCGTCGCTGTGGCCGTCGCTGTTGCCGCAGTTCTCGTCGAAGAGCGCGGGCACGCCGTCCTGCTTGTAGCTGTAGCACATGTACCAGAGGTCCTTCTTGTTGCTCTCGTTCCAGAGGCAGTAGGCGACGACGGAGATCGTCGTGATGCAGACCATCGCGCCGAGGAGGAAGAGCACCATGTTGTTCACGACGCGCTCGAGCTCCGCCAGCTTCGACGGCACGTCCCGCGAGTTGCGCACGAGGCGCGTGTCCTTGCCCGTGTAGGCGACGACGCCGACGGCGAGCTTCGTGTTCCGGAGCGTGCTCCCGCGGAGGAGGAACTGCGACGCGTCGAGCGCGATCTCGCCGCCGGCGTGCTTCAGCGTGCCCTCGAAGCTGTGGACCTTGGCGCAGGGCGCCTCGAACTCGAGCGTCATGCCGACGCCCTTGGACTCGTCCGGGTGCGGGAACAGCGGCGCGTTCGCCGAGTCCGTCGCGGGCCGCTTGATCTTCAGGTTCGTCTCGCCGTCGATGTTCGACGTCTCCACGTAGCACTGCGCGCCCTCGCTGCTCCAGAGCAGCACCAGGTCCGCGGGGATCTCCTCGCGGTCCTTGACGAGGACGATCTGGCCCGGCGCGATGGCCTTCCACGCGACGGTCTCGACGGTCCCCGGCGGCGTCTCGGGCGAGTTCGACAGGATCCGCGCCTCCGAGTTGTTCACGTGCTCGTCGCTCTTATGCCGCTTCAGGTCCTCGATGCCCTCCTTGGTCATCGTGATCGCCAGAATCAGGGACAGCGGGGTGATCGTGCTCCACGGCAACAGCGGCGAGTAGAAGAGGTCGGTGTACGTCCCGATGATCATCAGGAGGCCGATGAGCAGGAAGTACTGGTTCGCGGTCCGCCGGAACTGCTCGAAGAGCGACTTCGGGATGAGCGTCAGCGCGTTGTACTTGTGCGTCATGATCGAGTTGTCGCAGTAAGTGTCTTTGTTGAGCTCGCCGCCGATGCTCACCTCGAGCACGCGCCATTCTTCCTGGGGGTCCACGTCGAAGGTGAGGAGGTCGTCGACGAATTTGGTAATGTGTTTATAAATGGCGACGGCCATGGCGGACGGGCGCTCGTAGGTGACGGGCGCTCGTAGGCTTTTACAACAGTGTGCCGACGGCGAGTGTGTGGATGGTGCTTTTGAGTCGCCGTGAAGTCGCCAAAGTCCACAAAATGCCAAAGCATGGGATGGCCGAATAGTGTTATCACCTGACGCCCGACGCATCAAGGGCCTGAGCACACACATGGAGGCGTCAACGCAGCTCGCCGGCTACGCCGAAGTCGGGCGCAGCGGCACTGATGCGTGGCAACGCCAGCAAGGCGTCGCCTTCGCCCTTCTTGGCCTGCTGAACAACTTTTGCTATGTCGTCATGCTCACGGCGGCGCTGCACCTCGTCGAGAGCGCGGCGGGCCTCGTGCTCCTCGCGAACGTGGCGCCGTCGTTGCTACTCAAGGCGGTTGCGCCCTGGACGTTGCACCGCGTCGGCTACGGCCCGCGCGTCGTCGGCTGCGCGGCTCTGAGCGCCGCCGCGTTCTACGGCGCGGCGGCCTGGCCCGGGCGCTGGCGCCTCGCGGCCGTCGCGTGCGCGTCCCTCGCGGCCGGCGGCGGCGAGGCGACGTTCCTCGCGCTCGCGCACTTTTACGACGCGCGCGCGCTGCACTGGTGGAGCGCGGGCACCGGCGCCGCGGGGCCCGCGGGCGCGGCGTACTACGTGCTGCTCACGCGCGCGGCGGGCTGGACGCCGCGCGCGGCGCTCCTCGCGGGCGGCGTCTGGCCCCTCGCGTCGCTCGCCGCCTACTTTGGCCTCCTCGGGCCGCCGCCGCCGGAGCCGGGGGGTTTGCTCGAGCTCGAGCTCGCGCCCGCGGCCAACCCGCTCCGCGGCGCCGACGGGTCCGAAGTCCCCGTGCTCCACTGCGACCCGGGCGCCGCGGAGGACGCGGACGCGGACGCAGGCACAGACGCGGACGCGAACGCGGAGTTACACGTGGACGGGCCTTCGAAGCCGGACGCCGCCAGCGCGCCGTCGCCGGCCGCGCGGTTCCGGCAGCTCCGGCCCTACGTCGGCCCCCTCTTCGTCGTCTATCTCGCCGAATACACCATGTCCACCGGCGCGACGTCCACGATCGACGCGCGCGGCGTGTCGCGGAAGCGGTTCTACGAGCTCGCGTCGCTCGTCTACCAGCTCGGCGTCCTCGTCTCGCGGAGCAGCGGCGGCTGCGTCCGGCTCCGGTGGCTCTGGACCATGGCCGCGCTCCAGTGCGCGAACCTCGCCGCGATGGCCGCCGCGTCTTTCTTCGACGCGCCCGCGCGCGGCGTGCCCTGGCAGGCGCTCCAGGCCCTCGTCTTTTGGGAGGGGCTCCTCGGCGGCGCCGTCTATGTCAACGCCTTCGGCCGCATCCACGCCGAGGTCCCGCGCGAGGACCGCGAGCTCAGCCTCCTCGTCGCGAGCTGCGCGGACAGCGCCGGCATCAACTGCGCCGCGTGGCTGAGCCTCTGGCTCCAGTGCGCCCTCGACCGGCGCCACGGCCGCGCGACGGGGAGCGCCTGGTGCTAACACTGGGACTCCATAATGTCCCAGGCGTAGGCCAGGCAGAGGCGTAGGCAGGCTCTACTAGTAGTGGCGGCGTGGCTTCGCCAATGCGCCGCAAAATTTAGCCACTGGCCAGCGGCGGCCAAGCGCTTTGAAATTCGCCATCCAGCAGCGGCGACGCGACGTGGGTTGAGGCATGTCGGACCTCGAATCGGATGATGACGGCGACGGCTTCGGCTGGGCTCAAGACGACCCCGTCGAGCGAAACTACAAAGAGGTGGTGGGGAACATGGATTTCCTGATACGGCATCACGACTTCGACGCAGTGCGGGCTTGGCTCGAGACCTCGCCGCTCGACGCTTTGACCTACCCTGCCCATGCTTTCCTTTTCTGTTTTCTGTGCTGGCCGGTGAAGCCGGGAGCTCGCGGGCCGCGGAAAGAGATGCTTCGACTATTGCTCTCTCACGGAGCCGAACCGAACTCCGAGGCGCACTATTCCCGGCCACTCCATCATTGTAAGACTCCGGAGGAGGCCGCCCTACTGCTTGACGCAGGAGCATTGATCAACGCGAAGTTAACGAGGGCACTTCCGGGTCAGGGCGATACGCCGCTCGCTGCAGTTGCAAAGTCCGCCAAGTGTGAACCCGGCATTGATCTTGTACGTTTCTTGGTAAGCCGTGGCGCGGACGTTGACTATTCCGACCCGTGGGGGGAGACACCTGAAGATTTGGCTGCAACAGGGTTACGTGAAACGAAAGCACAAGTACAACACTATGGAAATCTACCGGCTTTTGGATTTCTCAAAGAGCACGTTGATTTTTACGAGGGTATTCTTCAGTTCTTCGCCGACTTACGCAGCGCAGGTGGATGGAAGCCGTACGCGCGCGCGCCCCGCATCGAGCTCGTGCGCTTGCGCGCGCTCTGCGCGCGAGGCCGCGCGAGACCTCCGTCCGCCCGGCGCGAGCCCGCACTCGCGCGCCTCTTCGAGACGGGTGCGAATCCACGAAGGTCTCGCGCGATTCCGAACGAAGTCTTCTGGCATGTGCTCTCATTCTGGCGCACGAGCCGCGAGACCTTCGGCGAGCCGTGGTAGGGCCGAGCTAAGCCACATGTTAGTACATTGTTACATTGTTAGTACTACGCAGTAGAACTGTTCGGACCATATCCATGGCCCACCCGATCAAGTTACCCCGTCCTCCGCCGCCGGAGGCTTCTTCCGCCGCCGGCGCCTCCGGTACCTCCGATGGCCGACGGCGACGGGCCCCTCGTCGACCTCGCCGAACTCGCAGTCCGCCGCGCCGCGCGCCGCGGACCCGTTCTTCCCGAAGGCCGCGCAGAGCGTCGCGTGGAGGTCGAGCTTGAGGCGCGCCACGGAGTCGGCGCAGGGCAGGGCGCCCGGCGCCGCGGCGGCGGCCGCCGCCGCGCGATCGGCCGCGTAGCGGTCAATCGCCGCGTTGTAGAGCACGAGGTCGTTGGGCACGAGGCGCGCGAGGAGCTGGACCTTGGGCCGGTCGAGGTCGTCGATGGAGTAGGCCGGCAGGCCGTGGCGCTCGCGCGTGAGCAGGGGCCCCGGCACGCGCGCGCCGCAGGCGCAGTGGGGCGCGTCGACGCCGTTCGTCGTCGCGCGCCGGAAGAGGCAGAGCGACTCCTGGTACGCGTCCGCCAGCCCGACGAAGAAGGCGCCGCGTAGCGTTGTCAGCGCGTCGGACACGTTCAGGGCATCCGCCGGCGCCGCCCAGGCGCCGAAGGCCGTCGAGAGGTAGCGCGTCTGCACGTCCACGGGGTTGTAGCAGCCGAACGCGAACGGGCTCTTGAGCCCGAGGAACTGGCGCGCCCAGGTCTCGAAGCCGCCCCAGGTCTCGTTGGCGGCGTCGCCGCGCGGGAAGACGCGGTTCCGGCGCACGCTGTACTTGCACATCATGAACTGGGAGTACGCGAGGCGCATCGGGTGCCGGAGCATGAGCACCAGCCGCGCGGCCGGCTTCGCGAGCAGACCCGCGGTGTAGGCGTGGTGCACCGACTTCTCGTGCGAGCCCTTGACGCGCGACCCGGCGGCGACGTGCCGCGGCGAATCCTTGAGGAACGACGCGCCGGCGGCCTTGGGGATGTGCACGAAGACGTAGAGCTCGTTGCGCGGCGCGCCGGCGCTCGCCAGCGTCCCCTGCCAGTAGCGCCGGTCGCTGCGGCTCAGGCGCCGCTCCGCGTGCTGCGCCGCGAGCTCGGGGCCGGGCAGCGCGCAGGTGCGCAAAACGAGCAGCGCTGCGTGCAGCCGGGCCACCATCGTGGCTGCCCGGCGCGAGGCGCAGCAACTCCAGCTTCAATGTTATTGGGGCGCGACGTGGAGGAGCGGGTGGAAGGTCGAGTCCTCGGTGCGCACGGCCTGCTTCTCGACGCGGCAGAGGCCGCGCTGGCTGTTCTTGACGGCCGTCGTGAGGCGGTCGAGCCGCGCGCGCTGCGCGTCGGAGAAGACGTCCCGCTTCTCGGCCGCGGCGAGCACCGCGGCCTCGACGGGCGTCTTGGCCCACTTCTTCGCCTCGTAGTGGGGCCAGGCGCTCCGCAGGCAGTGGATGATGGCGTCGCGGCGCTCGACGGCCGCGTCGGAGTCGTCGCGCTGGAGCGCCGCGACGGCCTGCGACACGCGTTTCATCGCGCCGCAGAAGTCGTACGTGTCGTCCGTCTCCCGCAGCGTCCGCGCGCAGGCGCACGATAAACGCCACGTCGCGACCTGGACGCGGTCCGCGACCTCGAAGGCGCCGCGCGGCGCGCAGCCCAGCGCCTCGACGAGCTCGCCCATGGGGCCCGCGAGGCCGTCGGGCACGGCGGCGTTCGCGGCGAACGCGCGCAGCGCGCCCATGAAGAGGGGCGCGGTCGTCTCCGTGACGCCGCCGTCGGTCTTCGCGAGGGTCGCGAGCATGCCGAGGGCCTTGGGGCCCTTGCGCGCCAGGGCCTCCGTCGTCGCGAGGGACGCGAGCACGTCGCAGACGCGTTTGACGGTCGCGGCGGCGTCGACCTTCTGCTCCGTCGGCGCGAAGGACACGGCCATCTTCTTCTTCTTCTTCTTCTTCGGGGGCGGCGCGTTCACGTCGCGGTAGTAGCCCAGGCCCTTGGCGCCCCGCGTGAAGACGAAGCCGGGCCGCGACCCGGCGTACGCGCCCGCGGGCTCGAAGTCCGCGTCGGCCGCGGCCGCCGGTTCTTCTTCTCTCGGCCGCTTCGCCGCGCCGCCCGCGGACGTGGCGACGATCTCGTCGTCGTCGTCGAACTCGAGCAGGAGGCCGGCGCAGGCCTCCGGTGGCGCCGGCGCGGCCGTCTCCGGCGGCGGCGCATCGGGTTTCGGCGCGTCGGTCGCCGGCGGCGCCGCGCTCGTTTTCGTCTGCACGATGTCGTCGTCGTCGTCGAACTCGAACTCCATCGCTGCCGCTTGGTGGGTCGACGAGGCTGGCGGCGCGCGCAGCGCGAGGCGACGAGGCCGGCCGCCAATGCCTGTCCTGCGGCAACACAGGGCAGCTTTGGCCCCGCTACACAAGTTGAAGCTCGAAGCATGGTCTCCATCTGAGACAACCACGACGCAGCCCCTATGGCGCTCTTCGCCTCGAGAGCGCAATTTTTCCTGCCGGAGAAGGCGGCGTGCCGCCGCGACTGGAAGACGCTGGTGCCTCCGACGCCAACACCCGAAACACCGCCGGCCGAGGAGGCGCTGCCGCCCCTCGAGGACGTGAGCAGCAGCAGCAGCAGCGACGACGACTCGTCGACGGACGACGAACCCAGGCCCGCGGCGGCGCCGCCGCGCACGCGGCCCATCCGGCGGGCCGCGCCCGCGTGGCTGCCCCGGGAGACGAGCCCGTGCGCGCGGTCCTGGCGGCCCGGCGACCGCGCGGCGCCGTCGAACGCGTGGCGCCCTTCGGACCGCGACGCGGCGTCCGTGCGCCGCTGGCTCACGGCGGGCGGCGCGCCGACGACGGGCGGCGACGCCGGCGGCTGGGGCGATCCGCTCCCGGCCGCGGTCAAGGCCGTCTTCGCCGCGCTCGGCCCGCGCCGCGTCGCCCGATCGGACGCGCCCGACTTCGACGCGCCGGCCGTTTTTCGGCCCTACGCGGACGCGACCTGGCGCGCGACGGCGGCCGCGTGGACGAGGGACGCGCTCCTCGCGCGCTGCGGCGACTTGTTGGTAGACTACGTCGCGTCGCCGCACACGGGCGCGCTCGAGACCGTGGCCCTGCGGGGATTCGTCGACACCTTCATGCCCGCCAGCGACTGGCCGGACGTCGCGGACGAGGCGACGGCGCGCGCCTTCGCGGCCAAGGCGAAGCCGCGGCCCTTCTTCGTCCAGGCCGTCGACGGCGGCTGCGCCGCGGTCTGGCAATCCGCGCCCGTGCCGGCGCGGCTCGCCGGGGATCTGCCCTTCGTGCCGCGCGCGACGACGCAGCGCGTCGCGACGGTCGCCGGCGCCGGCGCCCGCGTCCCGGGCGCCGTCGTCGACGAGCGCTACCCGGGCACGCCGCAGCTCGTCCTCGGCCCGGCGCTGAGCGGCTCGCACCTCCACGTGCACGGCGCGGCGTGGAACGTGCTCGTCCACGGCGCGACGCGGCGTCCTGCCCTTTGACCGGGAAAACGACGGAACACTTGGTAGGCGAGAAGCGCTGGTTCTTCCTGAGCCCGGAGCACGCGGCGCGCGCGCCCGCGTACCTCGGCGCGCGGGCGATCCACTACGGCACGCCGGCGCTGACCTGGCTCCGGGGCGACTACGCAAGGCTCGTCGCCGACGGCTCGCCCGTCGCCGTGCTCGAGGTCGTCCAGCGGCCCGGCGACGTCGTCTGGGTCCCCGACGGCTGGGCCCACGCGACGCTCAACCTCGCGCCGTCCGTCGGCTTCGCCGTCGAGGTCGGCTACCGCTACCCCGACTTCGCGGGCCGGCCCGCCGGCGCTAGGGGCGCTACGTGACAGGTGCTTACTGTCCCGGTTGCTTGGTGGGAGTGCCATCCGGCGCGGGCGGCGCTCGCGCGTCGGATGCCGCGCGCGTCGGAGGGTCGCGCGCTCAGCCCTTGCGGCGGCCGAGCGGGCGCTTCGACATGCGCACGGGCTGGCGCTTGGAGGCCGTCGCGCGCTTGCCCGACTGGCGCGCGCGGCGGCGGCGCGGCTCCGGGCAGACCGGGCCGAGCTCCTTGTGGAATGCCGTCGGCGACGGGTGCGCCATCAGGAAGGCCACGAGGCGGGCCTCCGTCTCCTCGGCGGCGCGGTCCGCGGCGACGTCGGCGCAGAGGTACAGGAGCGTCAGGATCTGCGAATCCTGCATGGCGGTGACCTCCAAGTCCGTGCCGCAGGCCGTGCACACCTCCCGCAGCTGCGGCTTCGCGGACATCGTCTTGTCGAGGGCGCGCGCGACGGCAGCGGAGGGGCGTCGAAGGCGCATGTTGGGAATCTCGCTGATGCCTGCGCGGGCGTTCGGCGGGTCGAGCGAATGCGCGCGAGCGCGCGGCGCGTCCGAACATGCTGACGCCTATCCGCCCTCGTTGCGCCGCAAGCGCTCAAATCTCATCGCGTACGCAACCGCCGCGTGTTCACGCGCACTCGAGGAGCCCTGTGCAACACCCCTTGGCGGACGCAGCTACTTGCGGTGGTCGTGGCAGCGCGAGTCTCGAGTGAAGCTCTCAGAACCTTGTGATCCGGAGACTCGGAGCGTCAACAACTCGGCAAGCACTACCTCAACATCGAGCCGCAGCTCGTCGAATTAAAACACCTCCACGTAGGGCAGGGGCGAGAGCGTCGGGAGCGTCGCGAGCTCGACGGTGTTCCGCCGCCGCGGCTTCCGCGGGCGCGTCGCGAGGTACGCGGCCGCGAGGACCGCGGCGAGGGCCGCGGCGCCGACGGCCGCGCGCGCGGCGTCCGGCTCCGCGGGCGCGGGCGCCGCCGGGTCCGGCACGACGACGAGCGCCGCCGCGGTCCGCGCCGCGTGGGCCGCGAGCACGCGCGCGAACCAGCGCGCGGACCGCTTCGGCGTCCGGTCGAGCGTGCCGTAGTCGACGTAGACCAGCCCGAAGCGCTTCGAGTAGCCGTCGGCCCACTCGTAGTTGTCGAGGAGCGACCAGGCGTAGTAGGCGACGACGTCGACGCCCGCGGCCGACGCCTCGGCGGCCGCGTCGAGGTGGTCCCGCAGGTACGCCAGCCGGAAGCCGTCGTCGACGGCGTCCGCGGCGTCCAAAGCGTCCGGCTGCGCGCAGCCGTTCTCCGTGACCAGCAAGGAATGGCCCGGGTAGCGCGCGTCGAGCCAGATCAGCACGTCCCGGAGGCCCGCGGGCGCGACGTAGAGCCAGGGCGAGCCCGCGCGCGCGCCGATCGACGCGCCGGCGGCGTCGACGGTCGACACGTGGAAGCGGCCGTCGAGGTGGGGGATGCCCTCGGCGCTCGCCGTCGGCGCGTGAACCACGTCGGGCGCCGCGACGTAGCGGCTCGTGTAGTAGTTGACCCCGAGGTAGTCGACGCTGCCTTTGAGCGCCTCCTTCTCCTCGGCGGTGAACGCCGGCAGGTCCGCGCCCGCGCGTTTCTTCAGCGAGTCGGGGTAGTCGCCGTAGATGACGGGGTCGTAGAACCAGCCCCACTGCGCCTCCATGAAGGCCTCCGCGGCCTCGGCGTCGCCCGCGTGGCCCCGGCCCCGCAGCGGCCAGGCCATCCAGCCGCAGTTGACCATGCCGATCTCGTACGTCGAATCGAAGCGCGCGCGGAATTTGGCCACGGCCGCGGCGTGGGCGAGCAGCACGTGGTGGCCCGCGACGAGGGGCTCGCGCATCGAGTCGCCCGCGGCGCACCGGTCCCTGTCGCCGCAGCGGCCCGGCGCGTGCACGCCGTCGCCGTAGCCCTCGCCTATAAACGTGAGCGCCTCGTTGAACGTCGTCCAGGACGTCGCGTAGTCCCCAAAGGCCGCGAAGCAGAGGTCCGCGTAGTTCGCGAAGTCGGCGACGATTTCGCGGTCGAGCCAGCCGCCGTAGGAGTCGTCGAGCGCCTGCGGCAGGTCCCAGTGGTAGAGCGTGACGAGCGGCTCGATGCCGTATTTCTGCAGCTCCTCGAAGACGGCGACGTAGAAGGCGACGCCCGCGGGGTTGAGCGCCGCGCCGCCGCCATCGGGGAGGAGCCGCGGCCACGCGAGCGACATGCGGTAGCGCGTCACGCCGAGCGACGCCATGAGCGCGACGTCGTCGCGGAACTTGTGGTAGAAGTCGTCGGCGACGGCGCCCGTGTCGCCGCCGAAGGTCTTCCCGGGCATCGCCGAAAAGGTGTCCCAGATCGACGGGCCGCGGCCGCCCTCGTCCGTCGCGCCTTCGATCTGGTAGGCCGCCGTCGCGACGCCGAACGCGAAGCTCTCCGGGAAGGTCTCCAGGAGCGCCGGCAGCGCGTCGTCGTTCGACGTGGCACACGCGACGAGCAGGAGCGACGCGACGCGTGGGAGCAAAGCCATCTCCTTTCGGCGCAGGCCCATCGCGCTTCGAGAGCTGCAACGCTGACGTTAGCGATCAAAGGAGCAGCCGTGCTACCCAGATGGTGCCGCCATCTCTGGTGGCCATCGTCGAGCTCGTCGTCGAAAGTCGACTTGCGCGCGTCGGCGGGCAGCCCCCCGCGGCGCCATGGGCGACATGCGGCGGACGCCCTACAAGCCGCCCATCCCCGTCGCCTCCAAGTACACGGGCAAGGAGGCCATCGAGGCGTCGTCCTACGGCTTCTGCGCCCACTGCGGCCGCGGCGACGCCAAGGCCAAGTGCGGCAACTGCAGCCAGGTGGCGTACTGCGGCAAGGAGTGCCAGCGCGCCGCGTGGAAGGAGCACAAGCTCAGCGGCTACTGCGTGCCCCATTGTAATATCTGCGCGGGGCCGACGCGGAACCCGTGCAAGACGCTGCCGTGCAAGCACAAGATCTGCGGCCTCTGCTACGACGAGTGCAAGCGGCTGGGCTGCGGGGGCTACTGCGCCAAGTGCGACAAGTTCCACCTGCCGAGCCACCCGGACGACGAGGGCGACCGGGCCATGCGCTGCGGCGCTTTGAAGGACTTTTTGGTCGCGGAGCGCATGGACCGGACGATCCGCGAGCGGTCGCGGACCATGGGCATGACCAAGGACGAGAGCCAGCGCTTCGCGGCCTGGCTGCGGAGCGGCACGAACCGCTGCGACGTCGCGTTGGAGCGGGACCCCGCGGACCAGCACGTGCACTGCGTGCTCGGCATGATCAAGCGGTCGCAGGGCGACGCCGTCAACGCCGCGGCGTCCTTCGGCGACTGCCTCGAGATCGAGCCGAGCCACCCGGCGGCGAACTTCTACATGGGCCTCATCGCCATGAAGAACGGGGACCACTGCGCGGCGACGCGGCGCTTCCAGCACGCGATCAAGAGCGACAAGTCGCACGTCGGCGCGCACCGGTGCCTCACGCAGCTACTCAAAGACGGCGAGCGGTCCTACAGCCCGGCGGGCGCCGCGTCGGCGGAGCGGGCGACGAACGACAACCCCCACGACGCCGGCTGCCTCAACACCTACGGCTTATCGTTGCTCCGCAAGGGCAACCTGGTCGCGGCGGAGGAGGCGTTCCGCGCGGCGACGAAGGAGGACGCGACGCACGCCAAGGCCTACTACAACCTCGGCTGCGCGCTGAAGGACCAGGGCCGCTTCGACGAGGCCGAGGGCGCCTGGCGCCAGGCGCTCAAGGCGAACCCGCAGCTCGGCGACTGCTGGGCGAACATCGCGTGCTGCTACGTCCAGAAGAAGGACTACGGCCGCGCGAAGGAGTGCGTCAACAAGGAGCTCGCCTTGAACATGCACCACGTCCGCGCGCGGAACCTCGCGGAGATGATCGGCGCCAAGGCCACGGACCACGAGGAGGAGCTCGCCGCGCTGCCGCCCGAGGCGCCCGCGCCGTCGAGCGCCGCGGCCCTCAAGGCCAAGGCCCTCGCGGCCCTCGAGGACGACAGCGACTAGGGGGGGAGGTCGCCCCCCCCGGTGGGAAAAGAAACCGCCGCATAAGCGCGCGACACAGGTGGTTCTTCTCTCCTTCCGGGAGCTCAGGACGCGATCGGCGCGCCGCAGAGCGGGATCATGCGCGTGTTCGAGAGGCGGCGGACGCGCTGGGGCACGTGCTGGAGCGCGAAGCCGACCTTCTGCCGGATGCGCTTGCCCGCGTGGCGCATGCGGCGGCGCCGCGCGCCCGGCGACGCGGGCGCCGCGGCCGCGCCGTCGCCGCGCGCGCCGCCGTCGACCCAGTGCCGCGCGAGCACGTTCGTCGGGTCGCGGAGCAACGCGTCGACGGCCCGCGCCCAGCCGTCGGGCGGCGCGTCGCCGCCGAGGTCCGGCGGCCGCATGCGCCGCGGCACGCCCGCCTCGAGGCCCGGGCTCGTGGGACCCCGGCTCACGGACAGCTTGTCGCGCGTGTCCGCGCCGAGCGCCGCCTGCATGAACCAGACCAGGGGCATGACGATGAGGGGCGCGTTGACGACGAAGACGCGCGGGATGCGCACGGGGAAGGCCTCGGCGACGCAGGACACGCCCCGGACGACGTCGTCGAGGCCGCCGCCGTGCGCGATCGTCCCCACGCCGACGCGCTTCAGGTCGACGACGAGCACGACGCCCAGGCGCTGCGACTCGGGGTCCTCCGCCAGCACCGCCTCCAACAGGAAGCACGTCACCTTCTGGAGGTCCTCGACGGACACGCGCTTCGGGTCCCTCTCGTCGAGCGCCGCGACGCGATACACCAGCACGCGCCGCCCGGCGTCGTCCTTGCCCGGCAACACCTCGTTCCAGCCGAGCCGCAGGGCCGCCGCGTGGGCCGCCCCGTCGCGGAAGCGCGCGGGCCAGCCGTAGCGCCTCCGGAACCGCGGCAGCGCGACGGCCGTCTGTCTGCCGCCGCGCGCGGAGAACGCGCGGCGGCACTGGCGGAGCCACTCGTCGTCGGGCGGCTCGAGGCCCTCGGGCGCGAGCGCGGCGGCGGCGTGCGCGCGGAGCGCGGCGACCTCCGCCGCCTCGTCGCGGCCCGTCGCGTCGTCGTCGTCCGGCGGCGGCGTGCCCTGCAAGTTGCCGAGCGACTGGCGCAGGTAGCCGAGCGCGTCGAGGTCGAGGCCGAAGCGCGTCCGCTTCGCCGGCGGCGGCGCGTCGTCGTCGATGGCGAGCTCGACCTCGTGGTCGTCGTCGCCCGGCGGCCGCCAGAGGCGCCGCTCGTAGGCCGCGACCGCGCGCCAGTGGCCCCGCGGCGCCGCGGCCGCGAGGAGCAGCAGCGGCGCGACCTGCGCCGCGAGCCGCGCGCGCAGCGGCAGGCCCGGGTAGGCCCAGACGTGGTGCGCGTCGTGGGCGAAGAACGCCGCGGGCACGGCGACGAACTCCGCCGTCAGCGCGGACGCGGCGACGCGGTGCTGGTCCGGCGACCAGAGCGGCTGGTTCTGCATATAACACCGGAGCGCGGCGCGCGCCTCGCCGAGCTCGAGGAGCAGCACGCCGACGAAGACGGGCGCGGCCTCGACGGCGACCTCGTAGAGGTAGTCGCGCGCCGGGTGGCGCAGGAGCAGGCGCGACACCTCCGCGAGCGCCGCAAAGACGCCCGCGACGACCGCGGCGTGCGCGAGGAGCAGGAACGCCGCGGACCGCCCCTTGACCTGCTTCGCGAAGAGCGCGTGGGCCGCCGTCGTCGTGATCTTCCCGTCGGCCACGAGCAAAAACCAGGCGACGCGCGGCGGGAAGATGCGCGTCGGCCCCGCGCCGAGCGCGTGCGCGCGGAGCTGGAGCGCCCACGCCAGACCCAGCCAGCCCGCGTAGAGCGCCGCGAAGGCGCGCCCGCGGGCGCCGTGGCCCTCCCTCCGGTTCGCCCACTGGCCCGCGAGGAGCAGGACCAGGGGCGCCATGCCCAGCACGTGGCCGTAGAGGAGCAGGCGCCGCGACACGTCGGGGCCGATGGCGTCGCGGCCCAGGGGCGACACGAAGCCCGTGGGCACGGCGTGCGCCACGTCGTCGCTCGGGCGGTAGCGCGTCGCGTAGTCCGCCGACGCCACCGCGGCGACGCAGGCGACGCGCAGCATGGGCGCCACGCTGACAACCTCACTCCATCACGACGAGAGTGCGGGGCAGCCCGTTCAGCCAGCGGTTCAACCACGGTTGTTGACGCTTTCGCAATTCAGCGAAGCACGATGCTCATCGCGCTTAGGCGGCGCGCCGCCGGCGCGCTGTGCGCGCGCCAGCTGTCCGCCGCCGCCGCGGAACTGACGCGCAACATCGGCATCAGCGCCCACATCGACAGCGGCAAGACGACGCTCACGGAGCGCATCCTCTACTACACGGGCCGCATCGGGGCCATCCACGACGTGCGGGGCAAGGACGGCGTCGGCGCGAAGATGGACTCCATGGACCTCGAGCGCGAGAAGGGCATCACGATCCAGTCCGCGGCGACGCACTGCACCTGGGGCGCGAACCACGTGAACATCATCGACACGCCTGGCCACGTCGACTTCACGATCGAGGTCGAGCGCGCGCTCCGCGTGCTCGACGGCGGCGTTTTGGTGCTCTGCGGCGTGTCGGGCGTGCAGTCCCAGTCGCTGACCGTGGACCGCCAGATGAAGCGCTACGACGTGCCGCGCGTCGCCTTCGTGAACAAGCTCGACCGCGCGGGCGCGGATCCGGACCGCGTCGTCGCGCAGGTCCGCGAGCAGATGGCGCTCAATGCGTGCGCTGTCCAGCTGCCCGTGGGCCTCGAGGCGGCCCACGAGGGGGTCATCGACCTCGTGCGCATGAAGCGCCTCACGTTCGCCGGGGACCGCGGGGAGGACGTCGTCGAGGACGACGTGCCGGCCGCGTCCGCGGACCTCGCGGAGGAGCGGCGCGCGGCGCTCGTCGAGGCCGTGGCGGACGTCGACGATGATGTGGCCGAAGCCTACCTGGAGGGCTTGGAGGTGGACGGCGACGCGCTGGCCGCGGGCATCCGCCGCGCGACGATGGCGCGCGACTTCGTGCCCGTGTTCATGGGCTCGGCCTTCAAGAACAAGGGCGTCCAGCCGCTGCTCGACGGCGTCGTCGCGTACCTGCCGTCGCCGCCGGAGCGCGAGGGCGTCGTGGCGCTCGATCTGGAGGACGACGAGACGCCCGTGCCCATCGCGTGCGACGCGGACGCGCCGCTGCTCTGCCTCGCGTTCAAGCTCGAGGAGTCGCGCTTCGGCCAGCTCACCTACGTGCGCATCTACCAGGGCACGCTGCGCAAGGGCGCGACCATCGTCAACGCTCGGACGCGCGCCAAGACGAAGGTGCCGCGCCTCGTGCGCATGCACAGCGACGACATGGAGGACATCGACGCGGCGTCCGCCGGCGACGTCGTCGCCATGTTCGGCGTCGACTGCGCGTCCATGGACAGCTTCGCCGGCGAGCCGAAGAAGGGCGCCAAGGAGGCGCCGCGGAAATTGGCCATGGCGTCCATGTACGTGCCGCGGCCCGTCATCTCCATCGCGGTCGCGCCGAAGAAGGGCGCGGCGCCGAACGTCATCGACGCGTTCGGCAACGCGCTGCAGCGCTTCGCCCGCGAGGACCCGACGCTGCGCGTCCACGTGGACGCCGAGTCGAAGCAGACCATCCTGTCGGGCATGGGCGAGCTCCACCTCGACGTCTACGTCGAGCGCATGAAGCGCGAGTACAAGGTCGACGTCGACGCGGGCATGCCGTCCGTGAACTACCGCGAGGCCATCTCGAAGCGCGCGGACTTTGAATATCTCCACAAGAAGCAGACGGGCGGCTCGGGCCAGTACGCCAAGGTCGTGGGCTACGTCGAGCCGCTCGAGGACGACTTCGACGGCGACGAGCCCTTCGAGTTCGTCAACGAGTGCGTCGGGACGAACGTGCCCAGCGAGTACATCCCGTCCGTGGAGAAGGGCGCGCGCGACGCCATCGCCAAGGGCAATTTGATCGGCTTCCCCGTGGAGGGCATGCGCGTCGTGCTCCAGGACGGCGCCGCGCACGCCGTCGACTCGAGCGACATGGCGTTCCGCGCCGCGGGCCAGGCCGCGGTCCGTGGCGCCATCGACCGCGCCAAGGCGTCCGTGCTCGAGCCCCTCATGGCCCTGGAGGTCACGGTGCCCGCCGAGTTCCAGGGCGACATCATGGGCGCCATCAACCAGCGCCGCGGCATCATCACGCACAGCGAGATCAGCGCCGACGGCTCCCACGCGGTCATCAACGCCGAGGTGCCCCTCGCGAACCTGTTCGGCTACTCGACGGACGTGCGCTCCGCGACCCAGGGCAAGGGCGAGTTCACGATGGAGTACGTCCGCCACGCGAACGTCCTCCCGGACATCCAGGCCGAGCTCGTCAAGGAGCACCAGGAGAAGCGGGCCGCGGGGACCGCGTAACGTTAGCCGGGCCCGCCCTCGCACGCGTCCCGCAGGTTCGCCATGGCGCAGGCGCGCGTGTACAGCATCCAGCGCCACCGCTGCTCGTCCGGGTGGCTCCAGTGGGGCTCGGGCCGCGGCGGCGCCGCGGCGCCGCCGCGCTCGGGGAGCGGCTCGTCGTCGTCGCGCGTGACCCGCTCCTGGACGACGTAGCAGACCTCCGCGCCACTCGGCACGCCCGCGACCAAAAAGCCCGACGCCTCGACGGAGACGATGCCGAAGTCGCGCTCGAGGTCCCGCGTCGACGCGTCGCGCGGCGCCGGCGCGAGGCGCGGGTGGGGCCCCGCGAGATCGGCCCAACAGTGCTCCGGCTCGCCGGCGAGCACGGGCCCGTGCTCGAGGATCACGTAGGCCGCGCGCGGCGCGTTGAAGCCGCGGCCCGCGCCCGCGTCCGCGCGCTCGACGAGCCGCGCGAGCCGCACGTGCGCGCCGCCGTAATCGAGACGCACGACGTCCGCGCGGCGGTGCAGCGTCGTCGCCTTGCCGCCCGCCGCGCGCAGCGGCTCGCGGCTCGCGGACGAGAGGCCGCACTCCCAGCGGTCCCGGCGCGCGCCGAGGTCGCGGAGCGCCGCGCGGACCTTGGGCAGCGCCGCTTTCACGCTCACGGTCAGGCGCACGCGCCGCAGCCGCGAGTCGCGCCGCGGCAGCGGCGTGCTCACGGTCTCGATGGCGACGCCGCGCGGCGCCGCGAGCTCCTCGAAGTCGTCGTCCGCGAGGTGCTGGATCGACTCCGTGAGCCGCGCGACCGAGACCTCGTCCCAGGTCTCTTCGAGATCAGCGCCGACGGCTCCCACGCCCTGGCCGAGGTCGTCGCTCCGGTCCGCGGGGAACGGCGCGAGGCGCGACGGCGTCGGCGCCGCCGCCGCGCAGGCCCGGAGCTTGCGCCGCGCGCGCTCGGCCGCGATCCCGTGCTTCGCGCAAAACGGCCGCGCGGCGTAGAGGAACGAGTCGAGGTCGACGACCATGGCCCGGGCGAAGGGCAGCCAGCGGCGCCAGCGCGCGAGGAACCGGCGCCGCAGGCGCGCGGTCCGCGCGTCCTCGCCGTCCTCGGCCTCGCTGTCGCTCGACGCCTCGGCGCCGTTCGACTCCCGGAGCGCGGACGCGCCGGGGGACCGCGCGAGCGCGCTGAAGGCGCTCATCGTCTCCGGCATGTCGCCGTCGCTCGTCTCCTCGTCGGGGTCGTGCCGCAGCTGCCAGCCGTGGCGCTGCAGCAGGGCGCCCCAGACCTCCTTGCGCCGGCCGAGCAGGCGCCACGCGTCGCAGGCGCACAGGAAGTTGCCCACGTCGCGCGTGTCCGCGTAGCGCAGCACGCACCGCAGCAGGACGTCGCCATCTAAGTAGGCCCAGTCCGCGGGCATGGCCCGATGCGTCGCGGTTTTTGCTGTCTGTGCGTGCGCGCGCTGCCGGACGCTGCCTCACTTGGCCGAAGACGCGAGCCCTCGATGCGCCCGACGCGACACTGCCTCAAGTCGCAGAAGAATGAGCTTCTATACCGCAGCTCCCGAAGCGAGTTCACGAGCTGTTCAAGTTGACGCAAAGATGCTGAAAACAAAGAAATAAGTTACCCGCACACGTAGAACGGGGCGGACTCGGGCAGGAGGAGCCGCCGCGGCGGCGTCAGGGCGATCTTCTCCTCGTCGCGCTTCGGCGACGCGGCGAGGACGATGGGGTGCTCGTCCGCGAGGAAGCCCGAGACGTCCTTCGCGTCCTTTGCGACCGCGGACACCGCGATGGACGTGAGCGCGGCCGACATGGCCTTGGGCGAGACGCCGACGCCGTGGCCGTGGATGAAGGTCACGCGCGGCGACGGCGGCGGCGCGCGGAAGCCGCGGAAGGGCGACGCGGTCTTGGCTTCGCCCGGGTCCGCCTTCGCCTCGTCCCACGCGCGCTCGTCGCCGTCGTCGCCGAAGGAGCCGTCGTCGTCGCTGTCGTCGCAGTCGCCGGCGTAGGCGTCGCGCGCCGCCAGGAGCAGGGATCCGTCGCAGGGCAACCCCTCGGCGACGCGCCGCGCGTGCTCGTCGGCGACGAAGCGGCGCTTCGCGTCCGCGCCGTGCCAGCACGCGGCGCGCTCCTCGAGCGTCGGCTTGGCGCACCGCTCGACGCGCACGTAGGGGTCGAAGCTCACGCGCATGGCCTCGCTGCGGCGCCGCGGCAGCGACGGCGTCAGCGAGATGCAGCGCTGGAACTTCCGCGCGTCGGGCGTGAGCGCGCCCGGCGGCGCCGGCGCCGCCGACGCGGCGCGCGGCGCGCTCTTGCCGAGAGCGAACGTCGCGGAGCGGTTGACCCACCTCGGCACGGCGCCGTCGCGGCCCAGGAGGCGCGCCGCGAGGTCCGCGGCGAAGTGGTTGCTGTTGCGCGCCGCCGCGTCGAAGCTGCCCGGCGCGTAGGTCGGCTCCATGGCCCGCAGGATCGCGCGCAGGTCCGCGGGCGTGCCGCGGAAGCGGCCGAGGCCCACGGCCGTGTTGAGCGTCGCGCTCGGCATGCAGAGCGGCTGCATCTTCGCGATGCCATTGGACGTGAACGTGTACTCGTGGTTGCAGACCTGGACGCCGCTGGAGTGCTGGCCGAAGCCGAGGTAGCTCAGGAGCATCTGCGACGGGCCCACCCGGCCCGGGTCGTAGACGTTGAGGCGCACGACGTGCATCTCAACCATGGTGGGTTCCGTCTGATCTGGCGTTTTCGAAGGAGAAGAGACAGCTCACCCTCGTCACCAGCGAAGGCTGCCCGGTTACCTTCATCATGCGGGCCAACGGTTACTCCTACCGCCACAGCGGCCCACAGCGCGAGATCATGGATGTGGCCCAGCTCAAGCGCTTCGCGACGCCGCCGAAGGACCTGAGCTCGCCCTACGGCCAGCTCTACGGCGCCGTCGTGTCCTGGTGCGCCTGGGAGGCGCTCTACGTCGCGCTCTACGTGCCGCTCGTCGCGCGGCTCGTGCTCCCGCGCAAGGGCGCCGCCGCGGACCCCGCCGCCGCGCCGGCGCGGCTCTGGCGCATCAAGCTCGTCAACGCGCTCCACGGCGCCCTCGTCGGGCCCGTGGGTATCTACGCGCTCTACCTCAGCGACGAGTTCACGAAGGACGCGACGACGGCGGCTTTGACCTTCGACGGCGCGTGGCTCCGGAACAACCTGCTCACGCTCGAGGATTTGGACCACGCGCCGGCGCTGTGCTGCCTGACCGTGGGCTTCCTCGCCTGGGACCTCATGCACAGCCCGGAGTGGGACGAGCGCGACTGGCTTTTAGCGCTCTCGCGGCTCGTCGCGATTCTGGCGTGGCCCGTCGCGATCACGCAGCGCGTCGCGCACTGGTTCATCCTCGTCTTCATCTCCTTCGAGGTGTCGAGCCCGCTGCTCCAGGCCACCTGGCTCACGCGCACGGCCTACGGCACGCACTCGTCGGCCTACTTCGCCGCGTCCGCGTCGTGCAGCCTCAAGTTCCTGCTCTTTCGGACGACGTCCATCCCCTTCCTCGCCTTCGCCTACCTCCAGGCCAAGCCCTGGGCCTGCGACGAGCAGCCCTGCGCCATCTCCCACCCGCACCTCCGCGCGCTCACGGCATTTTGCCTCGCGCTGCCGAGCCTGCTCAACGTCCTCGGCACGCTCCGCATCTTCGCGGGCGCGGCGAAGCTCTTCGAGGAGAAGGAGGTCGACGTCATCCCCGCGGACAAGCTCAAGAACCGCAAGGACGACTGAGCGGGCCGCGCGCTAACTCCCGGGGGCGCCGACGTGGACGCGGCCGGGCGCCGCGTCGAGGCGCGCGACGAAGCGCCGCGGCGGCGGCGGCGGCGGCGGCTCGTCGACCGCGGCGGCCTCGGACGGGCGCGCGGGCGGCGCCTCGCGGGCGTCGCGCCGCGGCAGCGTCGCCGGCGGCGCCTCGGGCTCCTCCAAAGCGAAGCGCCGCGGCGTCGACGGCGGCGGCTCGACGTCGCCGTCGGCGCGCGGCGCCGGCGTCGGCGGCGGCGCGTCGACGTCGCCGCGGCGCGGCGCCGGCTCCTCCGGCTCCTCGAGCGCGAAGCGGAGCGGGCGCGCGACGTGCCGCCGCGGCGGCGACCGCAGCTCGAGGGCCCCTTCGTAGTGCGCCTCGAGGTCGTGCTTCGACGGGCTCGACGCGAGGTAGACGGCGCGGTCGAGCGATTCGCGGCCGCTGAGGTAGTCCGCGCGCGCGTCGAGCCGCGTCCCCGCGAACGCCTCCTCGTAGTCGTCGCCCCGCGCCTCCTTGTGCTCCGCCTCGAAGGCCGGGGCGAGGCGCACGGCGAGGCCGCTCCGGAGCTCCGCGCGGCACGCGCCGGGCGCCGGGGCCCGGCCGAAGGGCTCCTTTTGCCGGTCGAGGAACGCGCCAAAGGCCGTGCGCCGCTTCGCCGGCGCGCGGCGCGCGCGGGCCGCCGCGCAGACCACGGCGCCGAAGAGCGCGACGGCGCCGGCGGCGACGGCGGCGCCGAGCGCGCCGAGGCCCGCCGCGTCCGCGGTCTCCGACCGCGCGCGGCGCTCGGGCGCCGACGGCGCGGCCGTCGGCGCCGTCGGCGCGGCCGCCGGCGCCGCCGACGGCGCGG